GTTTAGTTTCACTGAAACAAAATCTATTAATTTATTTTTGCAGACACCACATTAAATTTTTAAAGATCGTTTAAAACTATATAATGAATCAAACATTATATTCAAGAGTACTAAGAATCATACCTATATTAGAAAAAAAAACACATAAATTTTCTTAAAAAATTGCATGTGTAAAACGTTCTATTTATAGTAATCTGAAAAGGTACATTGATAGATTATCAAGAGTTGTGTTTGTTTTAAAATGAATATTTTCAAGAGTTGCGAGGAAAAAAAAGTTCAACCAAATACATTTTCAGGACCATTAGATAGAACCATAATAATTACAACCACGAGACTGAAACTCTTCAAAAAAAATTTTAAAAATCAAGAATTAGGGAAAAGTATGACTCTTCAAATTAAAGAGATGTGTTGTTTGAAAAAAAAAAATAACTACTCATAGCAATTTTAGTTTAAGTATAAAAAAATTATTAAGACCAATAGAAGAAAAAAAAAACAATTATAACCAAAGATTGTAATCCTTCAAATATGAAAAAGTATGACTCTTTCATGTAAAAAGATGTGTTGTTTGAAAAGAATATATGTTAATGCCATAAATATCGTATGTCTAAAAAACATTTCTTAGGACAATTGCATGAAAAACAAAACAATGGTTGAAAAATTGTATCTTTTCATAATAAACTGAANTCAAATATGAAAAAGTATGACTCTTTCATGTAAAAAGATGTGTTGTTTGAAAAGAATATATGTTAATGCCATAAATATCGTATGTCTAAAAAACATTTCTTAGGACAATTGCATGAAAAACAAAACAATGGTTGAAAAATTGTATCTTTTCATAATAAACTGAAATATATTAGTTTAAAAGTTGCATCTTTCATTATAAGAAAATTGTGTATTTTCAAAAAAAAAAAATTGTTGAAAGGTTGTATCTTTTCATAAGAACCGAATTATATTAGTTTAAAAGTTGCATCTTTTCATTATTAAACAAAGTTTATGTTTCAGATAAAATAGTTTAAAAGTATTTAAAAGAGAGTATAAGAATTGTGTCTTCTCAAAATAACAATTGTTGAAAGGTTGTATCTTTTCATAAAAAAAACTTAAATATATTAGTTTAAACATTGCATCTTTTCATTATAAAAAATAATTTTGTATTTAAAAAAAAATCTATTATTTTAAAAGTTGCATAAAAATTTTATTTGGACCATTATATGAAAAACAAAACAATTGTTGAAAGCTTGTATCATTTCATAAGAACTGAAATATATTAGTTTAAAAGTTGCATCTTTTCATTATAAAAACAATTGTGTCTCAGAAAAAATAATTTAAAAATACTTAGAATAGTTATAAGAGTTACGTCTTCTCATAATAAAAATCTACTAATTAAACGATCTTGATTAATTTCAAAGGCTGTGAATGCCGAATAAAAAGAAAATTGAGACTCTTTATAAAAATGTCTATAAGTGTGAAAGGTTGAAAATACAAAATAAAATGAAAATTTGTGTCTATTTAAAGAACTGAAATAGAATAGTTTTAAAGATTGTGTATGTTTTCATAAGAACTAAAATATATAAGTTTAAAAGTTGCATCTTTTTATTATAAATAGAATAGTGTTTTTTATAAAATAATTTCTATTATTTTTAAAATTGCATCTTTTTCAATATAAAAATGTTTGTGTCTCATAAAAAATAGTTTAAAAGTATTTAAAAGAGGTTGTAAGAATTGTGTCTTCTCATAATAACAATTTTTGAAAGGTTATATCTCTTCATAAAAAATGAAATATATTAGTTTAAAAGTTGCATCTTTTCATTATAAAAACAATTGTGTCCCAGAAAAAATAATTTAAAATATTTAAAATAGTTATACGAGTTGTGTCTTCTCATAATAAAAATCTACTAATTATAACAATCTTGATTAATTTAAAAGTCTGTGAATGCCAAATAAAAAAAAAATTGAGACTCTTAATAAAAATGTCTATTAGTGTGAAAGGTTGAAAATACAAAATAAAATGAAAAGTTGTGTCTCTTTAAAGAAATAACTGTAAGATTGTGTCTCTTAATAAATAAAATGAAAGGTTGTGTCTCTTAATAAAATAAAATGAAAAGCTGTGTCTCTTAATAAATAAAATGAAAGATTGTTTGTCTTAATAAAAATACCAATTAATTCTAAAGTTGTGTATCTTAATAAAAATCTCAATTAATTCCAGAGGTTGTGAATGCCAAATAACATGAAAAGTTGTAATTCTTAATAAAAACGCCTATTAATGTGAAATATTGTAAAGGCAAAATAAAATGGAAAGTTGTGTCTCTTTAATAAAAAGAAGGAAAAGTTGTGTTTCTTAATAAATAAAATGAAAGGTTGTGTATCTTAACAAAAATCTCAATTAATTCTAAAGATTGTGATGCCAAATAAAATAAAAAGTTGTGTATCTTAATAAAAATCACAATTAAAGTGAAAGGTTGCGAATGCCAAATAAAATGAAATGTGGAGTATTTTTGAAAAATATATTTTATGATTTGTTATATACCCTTAAAAGTGACTTTTAAGGAAACAAATAAATAATTAACCTTCTCTGATTATTTTTATATTTAATTTTAAAAATCGTTTGCATTTAAATTTGGCATACAAACTTTATAAAGTAGTTCCATAATTTGTTTAACACGATACATCTTGGATTGTATATTCATTTCTATAGGTGTGTAATATTTACCATCAGGAGTCATGTCTTTCCATTTTTCAAAAAAAAAAAAAATTGATGTTAGTGTCTATGTGTTTTCATTACCAGACATATGAATGTATATATTTTTATATTTATTACAAGGTAGAATAGAAATTTAAGGCTGTTTCATATACACTTCTTTTTGAGCCATCAATCCATATCATGGATCATAGTCCATAGCACCCGACCATAAACAGTATGTTTACCACTCATGATGGCTCGGCCTTAACTCTAATGACTTGCATCCATAAGTATCAATGATATTATGTTCGTTCACTTTTGGTAACATTATGTTCGCACCCTTTCGGTGATGTTATATTCACACCTTTTTAATGACGTTACATTCTCACCATTTTGGTGATGTTACATTCGCACCCTTTCGGTGACGTTTCATTTGCACCCTTTCGGTGACGTTACATTCAAACCTTTTCGATCCCGAACCACTCGCACCCTTTCGGTGCCGAACCATTCGCACCCGTTCGGTGCCGAACCGTTCTCACCCTTTCGGTGCCGAGCCGTTCGCACCCTTTCGGTGCCGAGCCGTTCGCACCCTTTCGGTGCCGAGCCGTTCGCACCCTTTCGGTGCCTAACCGTTCGCACGCTTTCGGTGCCGAACCGTTCGCAACCTTTCGGTGCCGAACCGTTCGCACCCTTTCGGTGCCGAACCGTTCGCACCCTTTCGGTGCCGAACCGTTCGCACCCTTTCGGTGCCGAACCGTTCGCACCCTTTCGGTGCCGAACAGTTCGCACCCTTTCGGTGCCGAACAGTTCTCACCCTTTCGGTCCCGAACCGTTCGCACCCTTTCGGTCCCGAACCGTTCGCACCCTTCCGGTCCCGAACCGTTCGCACCCTTGCGGTCCCGAACCGTTCGCACCCTTTTGGTCCCGAACCGTTCGCACCCTTTCGGTCCCGAACCGTTCTTTCGGTCCCGATCCGTTCGCACCCTTTCGATCCCAAACCGTTCGCACCCTTTCGGTCCCGAACCGTTCGCACACTTTCGATCCCGAACCGTTCGCACCCTTTCGGTCATGAACCGTTCGCACCCTTTCGGTCCTGACACGTTCGCAACCTTTCGGTACCAACATGCTCACACCCTTTCGGAACTGATACGTTCGCACCCTTTCGGAACCGACACGTTCGCACCCTTTCGGTCCCAACACGTTCGCACCCTTTCGGTACCGACACGTTCGCACCCTTTCGGTACCGACACGTTCGCACTCTTTCGGCCCCGATAAATTCGCACCCTTTCGGTCCCGTCACCTTCGCACCATTTCGGTTTCGATACGTTCGCACATCTTGGGTCACGGCACGTTCGTACCTCTTGGTTCATGACACATTTGTACCTCTTGGGTCACGACACATTTGTACCTCTTGGGTCACGACATGTTCGTACCTCTTGAATCACGATACGTTCAGACCTCTTCGGTCACGACACATACAAATATTATCTTCTAAAAAGTCAATATTAATATTTAAACGTATGAAAATGTATGACAAATATGATTGTGGCTATTAAAATGAAATATATGCATTTTCAATGAAGAGGTGTCAAATATTTGATGATATCATCAATCATATGAAAAGATTTTTTTTGGTCCATTAGATCTTAAAATCAAGTTAACTATGACCATTGGATTGAATTTTTTTTTTCCTATAAAAAAATACTGATGTCACTTTCAGTTTGCTATTATATATAGATTGTCTTTGTTTCTTGAGAGCGGCAAACTTGTAATATCTAAGGTTTTGTGCTTCTTTGTATATGTTCTTGTTCCAAGACTTTTTAGTCTATAGGTTTTATACTTTATACGAACTCTAATCTTTATTGGATTGGCTTAATATAGCAGTCATAGTCTCAGTCGAATTGGACTTGGTATGTTTGTGGCTCCTCTTTGTTTTGTCTTTGTTTCTTGAGAGCGGCAAACTTGTAATATCTAAGGTTTTGTGCTTCTTTGTATATGTTCTTGTTCCAAGACTTTTTAGTCTATAGGTTTTATACTTTATACGAACTCTAATCTTTATTGGATTGGCTTAATATAGCAGTCATAGTCTCAGTCGAATTGGACTTGGTATGTTTGTGGCTCCTCTTTGTTCTTTTTGAACTAGGAGTTTATATATCGGCCAATATTATCATTATATCAAATCTTAGTCTCTTTGAACCTATAAGTAGTACCTGGTTACATGAATACTAACGGCAGGGTGTTGATAAATACTTATAATTTTCTTAAGTGCCAATAACCCGTTCTATAGAAGACTAAAAACCAATTCAAAAAAAGAAGTAGAAAATCATCTGTAATTTTTAGAAGAGTAGGTAGAAGAAGTGGCAGCTTTGAGAGCAACACCAGATTTTCTCTTCATGCATTTGGGAACAACTGATAGAGATGGCGAAGAGGGCGCATGCAGATTCAGAAACGAAGAGGACAATGGTGATGATGGGACAAAGAGATTAGTGATGTCTTGAAGAGGCTCTCTTGTATACCTTTTTCTTCTGAAGCTGATTTCGGTTCTGTATTTATCATGAGGCTTGACACAAACGGTGGCCATCTCGGAAGGGGAAACATTTTCTTTGTTGTCGTCTTCAGGTATTAACTTCAAAGCTGCCATTGATGTAAAACTCGACAGAGAAAGAGAGAAGATAAGAGAAGAGAGAGGGAGATGGAGTTAAGTATAGGAGGACGAACTGATGGAGTGGACTAGTGAAGTGTGTTTACAGTGTAAATAGGAGTGATGGATCTAAGATTTGTTTTCGAATTTTGTGGAGGGATTATTTTTGTTTTGAGAATGGTTATAAAATTTCTGACGCTCTGTGTAAATTGTAATGGAGGGATCGTGGTGAAAAAAAATTAAGAAGATTCTCTATTTCTATTTCGTGTCGAAAATTTATTTTTATATTTTACAAAGAAAAGTTTTGATCTCAAATCATTTCATTATTACCTTCCTTAGTGTGGTTTTTACGCGCCTGTTTGGTTTTAGAATGTGCGCCAAGAAGGACGAGGGAAGCACCAGGTTTTGGTTTGTAATAGAAAATTCAGTTCTTAATTTGGGCCCAACAGATTAAAGTTATTGTGTTTATATTCGGGCACAAATATCTCTAGACTTTATGTGTGTATTCAAACCCATTTCATTTCCCTAACCAAATATTCAACTTTATCAATCATCTAACTCGGTGTGTGGTGAATGTGATGATTGATAATGTTACCTTCACGTATTTTGAAAGAAGATTCAAATGACAAAACCCATATTACCCGCTTCTAAATTCATCTGGATCAAGTTTTTCGTAAGCTATAGTGGTGATTGTTTATTGTGTTTATATATTATGTTCCAAAATGCACCTTTTGTTTTCCTTTGTTTAACCAGCAAATGAGAAAGATGATCGAGTACCTTGGATTAGTGTGACGCCAACGTTTCTAGACTTGTGACTGAACCTATAAGCAAGTCACAAAAATGATCAACCATAGCTTACTTGAGCCTCTTTAAATAACATCTCGCGATATAGTTCCTGAGAAAAGAAAAGATCAAGATTCTTACCTCTTAAAGCAACAGTTGCTTGAGTGTTCATCACGCCTCCCCTAAACTCAACTTAGCAGCGAAATTCTGGACCATATGAATGTTTCTGATAATTAAGGGATAAACACACAGAAAAGAGTCTATATATATATATTGATATAACCTATAGATAGACCAAATCTAACAAATGCCATTAGAGTAAAAACAGAACTAATAAAAAGGATATTTTGTCTTCATATAAAGGATGGTTGAGCATCAGTAGCTTATTGTTGTTTACTACAGCACGGACAAGCAACTCCTTCGCTTCCTCATGTTTCTTCTTCAGAATGTTGCAGATCTGCAAAATTGATCAGATAATAAGCATAACTATACAGTTAAGTTACACCGAGAGAGGCTCTGTTTATATTTAAAAGAACTTACATTGTCGAGTTCTTTTGTATATGATTCAGCCTTCTCGATGTTTTCATCATACTCCGTGATCGGGATTTCCATATTTGCCATGTTCATGATCTGGGGATGAGGTTTAGTCTGGGGGCTTTCCTTAACAAGCTGCTTGGTTGTATTGTTATCTAGTTTACTCAATGGGCTTGTGACCTGGAAAAGTCAGTTGAGTTACAAATGATTTAACACAGAAGGTTGTCCTTATTGTAATAGCTAAAGATTAGTTGGTCTATCTAACCTTTACTTGCCCAACTGTGTGTGTTAGCTCGTCAACGTTCCTGTGCAATCTCAGACATAATGTATATAAGAATTAAAAACTAATGAAGCAAACGTATATCTATATGGTTTAGATAACCAAAACTAGAAACCTGTTTTCTTTTGGAGACATGGAAAAGCGTTTAAGTTGTGGCATCAAGGATCTATCCGCATCCTGTGGAAACACAAAATGCTTCTTCAAGCTAACAAAAGATGTGCATGAAATAAGAATATAAGAAGATGTGAGTTGAAGTGTAAACCTCATTGAGGGCTTTACGCTTTAAAGAAGGTGGCAAGTGCAGAGTTTGTGTTTTGTCTCTGGGAGCCAGCTGATGAATCTCAGAGATTTTTTTAACTGGCGCTTCGGTGTTTCTATCCGTGCTTATGGAAGAGCGAACTTCTGGTTGCACTGCAGAACTGGATTGGTCTTTGTTTCCTCCAACGTTCCTATACTGCAGGACTTGTGTTTTGTCTCTGGGAGCCAGGTGATGAATCTCAGAACTCTTTCTAATTGGTGCCTCGGTACTTCTCTCATTGCTTGTGGAAGGGTTAACTTGTGGTTGCACTGCAGAACTGGGTTGGTATTTGTTTACTCCAATGGCCCTATAGTGGAAGAGATTAGGGAATTTATTTATCGCGAGAAAATGTTGTATGTTCTCGTACCTTTGAGTTGCTGCACGCAGATCAGACATAATATTTCCAAGTTTAGGCCTTTCAAGCGATACCATTTTGGACTTCTGCAAAGATTCGCCTCCAGAACTCAAACTTTTTTTTAGCTTCTGAGACAAGCTAGAAGCATCGGGTTTTGAGCTGCTACGAAATCAAAAAAACAAGGAAGCTTAATGCATCACAGATAAAACCCTCCTAAACAGTGAGGTAATAATTGTTTAGTAAATAAAGATCGTGGCAAATAAGTAAGTTATAATGATTTTATCTGACTTTATATTGCCCTGTAAGTTGGACTTCTCTCTGGTTGTATTTGTGGCTAGCAGCTTTAAGTGATCCATAGCTGTCCCGGTACCTGAGTGGCCCTTCTGGATTATCTTTTCATGGGAACTGCTGGTAAAGATAATCAAAATTGTCACGTAACTTCTATACATCATCTTGAAAGAAAGAAACATAATTTTATGATTAAACATAATAGCCCAGACCATTACCTGTTAGCACTCACATGTGCTGTTTCGGCATCCGTTTTGGCAAGCTCAAATGGAACTGTTCTAGTTTTGGATCCAGGTAAAGCATCTTCAGTATCATGTCTACACGTTGAAGAGGACAGTAATAGTGAAAAAAATAGATACACAAACAAAGAAGAAAAGTAATACCTTTTATTTTTTTGATAAAGAAGTACTACCTTTTATCAATTGTAGACTTCAAGTTCGACCCGATCCTTTCATGGGTAACTGGCCTAATCTCGGTTTGATTTGGAGACTCAAGCACATGTGATTGTGGCTTTTCTATCTTCTTAAAAAACATTGATCTGATATGTCCTGAGTCTTTGTTTTGCATGGTCTTCAGATCACTAAGCCTGGGCACACTGCATTTAGTCACCGAATAGAGCAGTTAGACATTTATTCCAGTATCCAAGTTTTGCTAGAAAATGATAAAGTACCATAGATTTTCGGAGGATAATAATAGTTTTGGTTTCTCTAACCTGTCGGATGGAGCCTGTGGCAGCTTTGAACTCGAATCTTGTACCTGGGCAGTTTGGCCTCGTCGAGTGCCTGGTGGTACTTTTCTTGAGAGAGTTGGTTGAGAAAGACCGGGATCTGGATCACATAATGTTCTTCTAGTGTAATCCTGTATTTCTGCCGGAGTGTCTGTATCCATCTCAGCTTGTTGATGTTTGATCTTGTCCAAACATGACTGAGATGAGGTGTTTGGTTCAGTCTTCTCATAGCTTGATTTCGTAGCGGAAATCATTTTATAGCTGGCATTCTCTTCTGGATCTCTAGGAGAATCTTCTTTCGTGCCAGAGCTGCAGATTTCATGGATACCTGGACTGGTTTCTCTACTTGCTGCAGTATGTGCAGTCTCAGAAGAATGTAAAGGCGAGGGTGCTGCTGTCTCATTTGAAAGACATGGTTTATTATTTTCTTCAACCTTTGAATATGATTCCCTCAATGGTGAAATGTTGGAAGGCTGAGGTTGTACACGCATCGTAGGAACTCCTGAGGTTCTCATCCTTAGACGTTGAGGTGATTCCACCTCCTCAAAATTTTCTTTGCTCTCTAGTGCAGCTTGCTTCGAGTGTGTGCTGCTATTACTATCAGCTTGCTTCGAATGTGTGCTGCTCATACTATCTGTAGCCTTGGAATTTGGGTTCTCTTTTTCAGCTGAAGCATTTGCCTTGACATCTGTATTTGCCCGGGAGACAGCTTGTCTAGTTGTTGGAAAGTCTGGACCAAAGTCAAAAGAGTCAGACTTATCAAATTTTTTTGTAGCAGCAAATTCTCCGGAATCCATGGACTTGGTCGTAGTCTCGTTTCCCTTCTTCAGTGGGCTTGAAACAGGATCAAAGTCGCTTAACCTGCTAGCAGAAAAGCATATTGCTAAGTTACTTCAGATTGACATAGGATTTCGTAAGAAAATTAATTTAGTGGATTCGTACGCATCAAAATCATAGGAGAAGGCAAACGGTTTCTTTTTCTGTTTTAGATTTCCACTATCATCGGAGCTCTGTTTCCCTTTTGTGGTTTTCTTGGCAGGGCTTGAGAAATCAAAGTCTGGCATGTCCATGTTGAAATTTCCAAAATCTCCACCTAGGTCGAAATCCATATCCCTGACAAGGAGAAAAAGAACAACAGCATCTTAGAGATGTAAAAAGAAATCCATGATTGAACCACATTAGCTTAGGCGTATACATGGTCTACGAAGCATATGGTATAGGTTACACTCACAGCTTGAAGGTATCCTTTTTCTTATCTTTATTTACTGGTGACCCAAACACAAGATCCATTGGATCATCATCTGTCATTGACTTAAAGTTCCATGTATCCTTTTCCACGTCTTTGTCTGCAAGTAACCAATGGAATTTTAGATACTACTGACAAATCATCCTTTTTGACAATGGGAACAGCATCTTAAGACTTAAAAAATCCAACAATGAGGACGATAATGAAGAATGAAAGATTGCACGCATGGTCTTCTTGATGTAGAGCTCGTAATATCAAGTTATAGAAAAAGTCAAGTTGACAAAGATTCCTACTCTTAAATGGAACTTTTGCCGCAAGCGGCTTGAAGGAATTTATCTAGCAATGCAATCATACTTTTTTTTTTAATGCAATCATACTTGTAAACAAAATTTGGAATCAATAACGATTCAGATCATTGAAACCAACTCTTAATACACTTGAACCTTACCGAGCATTAAATCTTTCTCCGTAGCTCCTGTAGAACCTTTTTTAGCAGGTGCAGACATTGCAAAATCCGTTCAATATTACTCTTGACAGTTGACTGCAAAGAAGAAAGCTAACCATCATCATCATCATCTTTCTTGCGCTGACTCATCAAGATACGTATCTATTATGCTCTGATGAACACAACAAAATCAAGCTACGCCACAAACTAAACGAATATACAATGTGATTATCCGAGAATAATGAGATACAACTCTGATTCAGCAAATTATCGAGGCGATTCGTAGATTCTAGGCATGACGAAGCAATACGAAACTCAGTTTAGGCGAACGAGAAGAATCAAACGCAGTTTTCACAGTAATCGAACATTCTAAACTCCAAGCTACGCGTAATCGCTACCTTAAAACAGGTTAATATGTTCACCGATAACGATCAAACGAATCGTCAATCGCCGAGTCTTAAGAAATCGAAGCTAGAGCGAGGCATTACGGTGAGATTCTACTCCAACGACGAGCAGCGAAAGTAAGTTCTTACCGATTAAATCGTTGATTCTGTAGTAGGAGCTGACGTTCAACGGCACCGGAAAGATAATCGCCGACGGAGCTCAGAGGGAAGATTTGAAAATCGGTGGGATGCGAATGATTCTGTTAATGGACCGTATTTTTTGAAATTTGGAGGTAAGTTTGAGTTTGTTAAGTCTTTGGGCCAAACATTTGGGCCTTTGGGGCTCTACATACAGAATCATTTTCCCTTTTCCCGCTGCTTTTCCTATATTTTATTTATTTATTCCTAACTTTTTTTTTAATTTTGTTTATTAAACAAGAAATACTCTCAAATAATTATATTCTAAACGTGTTGTTAAAAAAAAATTCTAAACGTAGTAGTACACAAATGGTAATATTGCAAAATTAAAATATCCCTAAATTTTTTTAAGATTTATGATTTGTTTAAAATGAATTTAAAATGAAATAAAAACACATAAAAAAAGAAGAAGATAGAGAAGGAAATCTATCTCCTTTTCCTGACCACAAGAACCAAAACCAATGGAAACAAAATCTCTTAAGAAAGTATTCTTAAAGCCAATCAGAAGGTGGTGAAGCAGCAAAGCTAAGCTCACAACAAAAAAATGGCGTCTCTTCTGGGATCTTCTTCTTCAGCAATCTGTGCTTCTCCTTCCCTCTCTTCTTCTTCCTCAACACCTTCCTTCTCTCCCATTTGCTTCAGTCCAGGTAATAAGTCTCTCCAAACTTTTAACTCCACTGTCTTCTCAGTTCAAAACTTTTAGTGAAACTCAACAGTCAAATTCTTGTTTATAGGGAAGATCTGTGGAGGAAAGTTAAACGCAGGAATCCAAATAAGGTCAAAGAAGAACAGGTCTCCTCACCATGTCAGGGTCATGAATGTAGCCACAGAAATCAACTCCACTGAACAAGTACGAGTTCCCAACTTTATGATAAAGTTTCACACTTTAATTGATTTAACAATAGTTTGGAACATATAGGATTCTTGTTTGGTTTTTTTCATGTTGTGTAATGGTGGTTTTTGGGTTTTAGGTAGGGAAGTTTGATTCAAAGAAGAGTGCAAGACCGGTTTATCCATTTGCAGCTATAGTAGGCCAAGATGAGATGAAGCTATGTCTCTTGTTGAACGTCATTGATCCCAAGATCGGTGGTGTGATGATAATGGGAGACAGAGGAACCGGGAAGTCCACAACTGTTAGATCCTTAGTTGATCTTTTACCAGAGATTAAGGTGGTTGCAGGTGACCCTTACAACTCTGACCCTTTAGATCCTGAGTTCATGGGTGTTGAGGTAAGGGAGAGGGTTGAAAGAGGAGAGCAGGTTCCTGTCGTTGCCACTAAGATTAACATGGTTGATCTTCCATTGGGTGCAACTGAAGATAGAGTTTGTGGGACAATTGATATTGAGAAGGCTTTAACAGAAGGTGTGAAAGCCTTTGAGCCTGGCTTGTTGGCTAAAGCCAATAGAGGGATACTCTATGTTGATGAAGTCAATCTTTTGGATGATCATTTGGTTGATGTGCTTCTTGATTCTGCTGCTTCTGGTTGGAATACGGTTGAGAGAGAAGGGATTTCGATTTCTCACCCTGCGAGGTTTATCTTGATTGGCTCTGGAAATCCTGAGGAGGGAGAGCTTAGGCCACAGCTTCTTGATCGGTTTGGTATGCATGCACAAGTAGGGACGGTTAGAGATGCTGATTTAAGAGTCAAGATTGTTGAAGAGAGAGCGAGGTTTGATAGTAACCCACAGGATTTCCGTGAAACTTACAAGACCGAGCAGGATAAGCTTCAAGACCAGATTTCAAATGCGAGAAGCAATCTTGCATCTGTTCAGATTGATAGGGAGTTGAAGGTGAAGATCTCTCAGGTGTGTTCGGAGCTCAATGTTGATGGGTTGAGAGGAGACATTGTGACTAACAGAGCAGCAAAGGCTCTTGCTGCTCTCAAAGGAAAAGATAGAGTGACTGCAGATGATGTTGCAACCGTTATCCCTAACTGCTTGAGGCACCGTCTCAGGAAGGATCCATTGGAGTCTATTGATTCAGGAGTTTTGGTTTCTGAGAAGTTCGCTGAGGTTTTCAGTTGAATAAGGAGATCAGATTCTGTTATATTATCATTTTCTTAACTTTTGTAAACTGTGAGAAGAACCAGAAACTATAAACAGGCAAAGTTAATTATATGCTTTCTTCATTGAGTTGATTGGATTTATAGTCGTTCAAACAAACAGTCTATGTTTTCTGAACTAAGTTGATTGAATATTTTTTTGATCAAAAGTTGATTGAATATAGTTGTTCAAACAAACAAACAATACATGCTATTCTTCATTGAATGAACTCCTTTTTTGTGCACGAATAAACTCTGTTTCTTTGCGTTTTCAAGACATTCTTTCATTGTACTAGCTCATGAAACATAAGTTGTCAGGACCTGTCTTGAAGAGCGACTCCTAGCTTGGTGATTACAGGGACATATTGTTTTGCCGGTTCTGGTAAAAGTGTGGAGCAACTTCTGTCAGCCAAGAAGGATTGATGGTGACGACATTCCGCATGTATTGACGCTCTGTTGAGACAATGGATTGGTAAACCACCCATTTCGGATTCACCCTGGTGATTATATAAAAGAAAAATTACACACCATATAAAGCTTCCACATTCAAAAGAAAAATCTCCAAACTTTCTTTATGTTATATTAGGTACAAGAGACTACTAACCTGAACAATACGGATGATGGGTGAATATAAACTTCTTCAGAGCCTCTAATGGTCTTGAATACCCCATTGCTGTGTGGCTAAAACATCATAACAAATAAAAGAATGAAAATTTAATCTCTCTATAAAACCGAAAAAGGATGTACATAAACAGAGAAGTAAAATCAGTTACTTACTTCTAAACGGCATGCATTGGCGAAAAAACCTGCTGTCACTGCTTTTCTCACAGCCTGAAACATAATATGCAATGTAAAAAAAACCTGCAACCTATTTTTCAACTGAAGCCAAGATGGTAGAGTTTCTTACATCCATGTCTCCGTCACATGATTTCAGGGTGATGCCTAATCTCCGAGCAATCCGTTTGAGTTGATCTCTGATTTCAACCACCTTTTTCTGCGAAAGGAAGCAAAAAAAATTAAAATGGGGAACGTAAACTAAGGTCTTAGTGTCAGTTCTGATAGTATATACGTACCATGGATTGATAGTTGAGGAAATTCTTGTAGCACCACTGTGAAGATTTTTTCGACTCAAGAAACCCTTTGTATACGTTGAGGAATGTGACATGGTCACCCTGAATAGACAAGAAAGATGATTTTACTCGGTCAAAAAAGATTTTAGGAGATGTAGTTAATTCAAAGTCATAGAGTAATATATACCTCCGCAGCTGCAAATCTGAGTTTTGCTTCATCTTGTTCTTTTTGTACTCCCCTTGCAATGACCCAAACGGACTGCACACAAATATATATAGTCAAGATTGCATCCATTTTAGTTTCAAATCTTAGAAAGCAAATCACCAAAAGTTTGCAATATGTCCTTATGCATTGAAGATAATAAACTTTATCAGAGGAGAAGGGGTTAAGAGCTGTTACTTGGATAGAGAGAACTGCAGCGATTGTAATGATCTCATCTGAACAACCAAGCTCACTTGAAGCTAAGATCATCTTCGATATCATTGGATCCTAGCAAAAATTACGAAAATGAGACTTGTAATAATGAACGTGATACTTTAAACGAGCAATGGGAAAATAAGTATCTCAAGGTTAGGAAGCAAAAGTACCAGTGGAAGTTCTGCTACTTGGAATCCTGTTGGAGAAGTGAGTTTTGCATCATCATCGAGGATTTGAAGTGAATAAAGCACTTCAAGTGCCCGGATCATTGCTTGTGGGGATGGAGGTGAAGGCCAGTCGAAACCCAATATATTATCTATGCCCAATGCTTTAAGCTGAAAAACAAAAAGCACTAGAGCTAAACATTCTAGTAGAAAAGGTTTCCTCTCATCTGGAGATTTGCTTACTGGAAAAGCCGAAAAGCTTGAAATAATAAAAAAAAAATCTGTGGTTTTTATGTAAGGACTCCCAAATTGCGATCCCTTAACAAAAATGAATATGAAAGAGCTGAGCAAGTTTTGTACCTGTATCACAGTTGAAACAAGATTCGACCTCTGCATCTCTGGTATGCCTTCTCCAGGCATTTGTTTGAGAAAATAATCTTCGGTGTAAAGCCTTAGTTATCACAAAGATGATTAATGTCAATGTATAACCATTGGCTGTCATCTTTAACTGAAGTAACGCTACAAATGAAGACATAAGTATGTCACTTTTATACAAGAACATGAAAATACCTGTAACACTTTCCAGGCCGAACTCGCCCAGCCCTACCAGACCTTTGTCTAGCAGATGCTTTGGATATTGGTGCCACCACAAGACTTTCAATGTCTGAAATCTGTGAGGGTGAGAAATGTAAGATGTTTTAGAAATGCGCTATATATGTTACAAAAGAGGGAACTGAAAGTTTATAAACAAAAGAAATGGAGATTGACTTACCGGGTTATAGAATTTCTGCTTTGAGAAACCACTATCAATCACATAGACAACCCCCTGAGTAAAGAAACGTCACAGATAGTTATTTTCAATGATGTTTCAGCAAATTTTGTATGAGGAAAATAGCTGTTTTGTTCATGAGATCTGCAAAAAATTGCAACAAAATAACAGTAACAAAAAAGCCTTGCCTCCAGAGTCAATGATGTTTCTGCTATATTTGTCGAGAGTATAACTTTTCTCTTTCCTCTGGGAGTTGGAGTAAAGATCAGTTCCTGAAAGAAAAAAACATCATTTCCGGTTTTAGTTTTTAAGAATTTAATACTCTTAAAAGTACAGTTTAGCTTGTCTAGAGCCAAGCAACAAAAATCAACCTGTTCTGCTCGTGAAAGTCCTGAATATAGTGGCAGAGGGAGCAGTCCTGAAATAAATACGAGTTATATAATGGTGCTATAAGTTGATTGACGTATTTATTTGTGTATAAATATTTTTCTTATACCTGAGGAATTCTTTTGATTGCTATGAGCTTCTTCTGCTAGCAGTTTAATAGCAGTTTCAATATCATCTTGACCAGTAAGAAATACAAGAACATCCCCAGGTGGCTCCTGAACATAAAAAGATACAGTTTAAAGAATCTAGCCTAAGGAAACGAATATACCAGATGTTTATAAAATAACAAATCAACATACCCGCTCATTAATCAACAAAATCGTTGAAACAACCGATCTGATATAATCTGAAACAGGCTCCTCAACATAGTGAATTTTAACACTGAAGCCTCTGCCCTAAGAACATTTCACCGACAAAAAACAAAACTCTCTAAATATCGCAGAGAAATAATGGGTTAAGAGAGAATGCTCTTAAGAAAGATAAGAGTGATGATGTACCTCGACAGATAAGATTGCAGGTTCCAACTTTGGTCCATGGTTACTACCTTCTGGCGCCTGGCGTTTTTTGCTATTTAATTATGCAGTGTGTAAGAATATAATGTACAAGTGATTCCACGATCCAGAGACTTCAGGAACAAAAACAAAAACAATAACCATTGAGTAAGATCAGAACCTGGTATTGAAGAAATTGAACATTTGTTTTGCTTCGATTGTGGCTGACGAGATAATAAGGCGCAGCTCAGGACGACGACGTTGTATCTGGGATTAAGAAGTTAATGTAACTCAGGAAAGCAAACAGTAAAGTAATAGAGAAGATCTAGTGAAGTCTATGTCTGAATGCTATACCTTCTTTAAGAGACCAAGTAAAATGTCAGTTGAAATAGATCTTTCATGAGCTTCATCTACCATAATAACACTATACAATGACAAAGGAGATAAGGTTACAAAGACTACTTTACAAACTAAATCATAATCCGAACGAGATTATGCTGTGCAACAAAATCATTACCTATACTTTGTCAATAGAGGATCCTCCATCATCTCTCGGATTAGTACCCCATCAGTGAGAAATTTCACACTAGTCACACCCTGTTGTAACAATCAAAATATATTTTCAGGCATCACCAAACCATAAGTTAACAAAGAAAAAAATACAAGAAAGAGTCTCACTGAAGTTGTATGATCTTCAAATCGAATAGTGTAGCCAACTTCACCACCAAGATTCACTCCCATCTCTTCTGCCACCCTCGCAGAAACCGACTAAGCAATTTACCAAAAACAAAATTTATAAGCGACCAAGCACGAAACTTCCAAACTTGAGCTGAGACACTAATCTTCAAACTTGAGCTGTAAAGTCAAATGGAGAGAGAGAGAAAACAAAAACAAAAAACCTGGACAGCTAAACGTCTTGGCTGTGTGCAAGCAATAACTCGCCCTCCTTCAGCCCATCCAGCTTCTTTAAGATACTGCAAAACAGCATAAACAAAGCGTTTACACAAATAAAATTGCTGTCAAGAAACAAAGACAATCTTGCTAGTGATTGAACAGAGAATTTCTCCTATATCTCCAACTTCCCCAAGAGCTACTAAGCTTAAATATTGTTTTTATGCTTCTCTAGCTAACAATGCACATTGGTTTAAGAAGCATGAAACTAGCAAAGATGGTGCTTTCCTCCAAAAAAATAAAACAATCACGAAGAAGGAAGAAGAAAGAAGGAAACCTGAGGAATCTGAGTAGTTTTGCCACTGCCAGTCTCACCAACGATGATGGTGGTAGCGTGATTCTCCACCAGATACAGAATATCAGTCCTGTACTTGTACACTGGCAATCTCTGCCTCTGCTTCTCTATATTCGCATACCCAAAACTACAAATCTCGACCATGAAGCAACACAATCATCCCCACAAAACAAGTAATACAGATAGAGAGAGAGAGAGAAGCAACCATACATACCTAGAAGAAGAAGAGGATGAGAGATTGTTGGACATGAGCACTATGCCTCCTTCTTCATCCTCCATGAAGCTTGGCTTCTCCGTTCCTGGTTTCCAAAACGCCATCTTACTCTTCTTTTCGCACAAAGACCTCTGCTTTCTTCTGGTTGTTTCAGTTTTAAGCTTATAAAGGCTCCCCTTTTCCTACGGCGGAGGAAAGTCTCGGCGACGGCGATCTAATACCTTCTGTTTACGCCAGAAGGTTTCGGTTTTGGTTTTGGTTTTGGTTCGGTTAATTTTGGTTTAGTTTAAGTTATAACAAAATTAATTCCGGTTTGATTTACAAATTTCAAACTACTCGGTTTAGTTCGGCTATCCATTCAACGAGAAGGAAACAAAAAAAAATGTACTGTCTTGCTTCGTCTGCGTTTCCTTCTTCTTCTTCCCACACTACTCTACTCCGTAACAAGCTCTCACCTTTTCTCTTCCGCCGTAATCTCACCCACCAAAGTCTGAGACTTCACCGTGGAAATTTTCAGATTAGAGCTATGAGAGCTGTGATACAGAGAGTCTCATCTTCCTCCGTCACGGTCAGTCTTTTTTTATATTCTCACGGTCGTTGCTATAATGAGCAAAAATGCCATTTATTTGATCTGTGATATATGGACAGGTGGATGGTAGAATCGTGTCGGAGATTGGGCCTGGTCTCTTGGTTTTAATAGGAATCCATGAATCAGATACAGATGCTGACGCAGATTACATGTAATGACACAAACTTTTTTATCGTAAACTCTTTTATGTAAAATTGTCTGAAGATCTAAATTTTTTTTGTGTAGATGTCGGAAAGTTTTAAACATGAGGTTGTTCACTAATGAAACCACTGGTAGAGGATGGGACCAAAACGTAAGTTCTGTCTACAAAGATTTGTCTCTTTCTGTTTTAAATCCCTTTTTTTGCAATTGGTTTATACAAAGTTTGATGGATGTGGTGTGCAGGTGATGCAGAGAGGTTATGGAGTTTTACTTGGTAATTAAATTATGCATCTTTTTTTCTTCTAATACGTGTTCATCTCCTTTTTGTTTGCTCTGATGATTGGATCGTTTGTTTGATTTCAGTTAGTCAGTTTACGTTGTACGGATTCTTGAAAGGTAACAAACCTGATTTTCATGTTGCAATGCCGCCTGAGAAGGCAAAACCTTTTTACGCTTCTTTGGTCGAGAGATTCCAGAGAGCATATAATCCTGAAGCAGTGAAAGGTATTAAAAGATTTTAAAGAGCTCTCATTGCTCGATCACAACTTTCTTGACTGAACTGGTTTACTCACTTGTTGAACAGATGGTGTGTTTGGAGCTATGATGAAGGTAAGAGATGAATCCTTCCATCAATAAGCAAGCTTAATTCATTGGCTTGTGTGATTAAAACGAGTTCTATTGCTTAACAGGTCAATCTTGTAAACGACGGTCCAGTCACTATGCAGCTCGACTCACCACAATCCTCCAAGTAAGAACATATCTTGCTTGCATACCCATCTAAGGCATTGATTTGTTAATTAAAGCAAGTGTTGATTTGTTTCAGGAATGAGACCAAGGCATCAACAAAATCATAAGATCAATCAAACTTTGTCTTTTTTCTGAAATGATAGAATTTACATTCATGTGAAACATTGAAACTGTAACTCTTTAAGTCCTACATTACTTGCTTCTAATACAATGCAAAGCCTCTTGATATGTTAAGATCTTGATTCCTACATGCCCTTATGCTTTTGCCTTGAGTACCATTTCTGCAGTAAACAACACTTCCTTTCCAAATGGTAAAATCTCGATTTTCCTGCAAGAACCACTAAACATTTGAGCTAAGAGTAAGGAGAAGGAAGCTATATAACCAGGAATAAAGAGTACGGAAATGCAGCTTACTGATCTACTCGCTTCAGACTAGTAAACGCAGCGATGACACTATTGCATATCTCTGTTATAGAGTCGCCTTCATTAGTGTTGGAGATTGTGAGCTGAGCCTGAAGATAGATTAATCAACTTAGGAACGAGGAGGCAAAGAAAAGGTATGAGGATGTGTCAAGGAGAAGTAAAGATATGGTTATTACCAGAAAGGCATGTCCAATGAGGATCTGAACAATGACAGATCCTATCTTCTTAGTGATGTTTTTTGCATTGGTACCATTTGAAAATGTCTTCAAGATCCCGTTTAGCGTTTTCAAGTCCTCTGTTTGAGGAGTGTTCGACCTTCGGGTACGAACGGAAGGCTGCAACCAGAGAGATTTCTTAAGACGGATGCATTATGTGTCGGAGAAAATGAACAGAGAAGATTAAGTAATAAACCTTAGGAATGTATTTGATGAGGTACTGGAGAACAATCTCTAGCTTCAATTTAGGATCATCAAAAACCTGCAAGAGAAGCTCTCACTCAAGAACTAAAAAGCAGATAAACAACACAGGAGTTTCATAAGTGGTTAGTAGCATTCTTACCTGAAGAAAATTTGACAGTAGATACTCATCGTAAGTTAGCTCGTCGACTATAATCTCCATTGCAGGAGTCCTGCACCAATATCGATCAAGAACATGGCCAAAAAACGAACAAGGGAGACAGATTTCACCAGAAATTGAACTTGTGATGTGAATACCTTACGCCATCTCCTCTATTGGTAATTCCTTCTTCGTCAGCTTTCTTCTTTGATGCATCAAGCTCTATGATCTAAACAAGGTAGAGAACTGTGAGAGTAAAGAACTCCAGAAGTATTACTGATAGTAACCAACAACTAACCATTATTAGAAGTTCCTTCATAGCAGAAAGCATGCCCTTGTGCAATTCAACCAAACTGATAGATTTGCCATCAGCATCAAAGGGTGAACACATTGTAGATAGACAATCTTTCACTAGAAGTTTGAAATTCACTTTTCTTGAAGCCTACAAAGGGAAACATAAGCATTACGTCACGGATAAATTAAGTGACTATTACACTAGTTTCCGAGGCATTGATTATGGTATGTACCAGAAGTAGATTCAGCGAGGATTCCTTTAAAAGACTCCAGTTCGTGGTTTCTGGAAAACAAAAGGACAAGAAGCTTATGTAACTATCACCAGACTGTATACACAATGGAGAGAAAATTAGAAACTACGAAGATAACGTTTTTGTACCTTCAAACACTTGGTTTCGAGGAGTGAAATCTAACTTAAGAACATGAACAAGATACTTGAACAGGAACATGTTTCCCAGGATCTGCAAAAATCAACAAGCTATATTGAAACTCTGCAAGCTTCTTAAGTTATGTAAAAACAAATGAACTGACCTTTAAATCAGATTCCTCTGACTCATCAACTCCCTTGTTCATGTTTTGAATCAGCTCTTGAAACACTGAAAATCACAAATCAATCAGTCACAATAAACTAAAAGCTAACTCAAAAGAGGAGACTCCGTCCTTACATGAGCTTCTCACTGATATTTCCTTTTCACCAGAATCAACATCAGACCCAAAACAAAACGGTGACCAAGCCTGCCAAACAAAACCACACGACAATCAACCATCCCAACCATAACCAAGAACGAACAAAAACACATTATACCATTTGGAACAAATACCTCGTCTACGATCTCCAACTGATGTTTCCCATCAGAGATATAAACCCAAGGATACCTCTATACTTCCAAGAACACCAACCAATATAAGCAAACCATTGTAAGCATATAAACTACTAAAACCCTCATCGAGTACTACCTGGTGTAGTTGTGTCAAAAGCTGGAAACTTGCTGCTACGAGCTCCAACGTTCTTCCGAATCTCAGTATCCGAAACATCGCTTGGTACATTTTGCTACAAATCAAGAGAAACCCCCATATCAAAAAGCTTCAAACTTTAGTGCATAAAGCTTCAAATTAAGAAACCCCCAGATCAAAAAGCTTCAAACTTTGAGGCACAAAGCTTCAAATTAAGAAACCCCTATATCAAAAAGCTTCAACCTTTGGTGCATAAAGATTCAAATTAAGAAAACCCAGATAAAAAGCTTCAAACTTTAGTGCATAAAGCTTCAAAATTTCTCAAAATAGTATATACTTACTTGGTGGGAGGGATTCCGTTTTCGGGAACAAGTGAAGCTGCACGAACAGCTTCCAGATACTGCAAACCTAAAGGGTTTCAACTCAAGATAATCAGAAGACAATGGAAGTTAGAAACGAAAAGGAGTTGAGGATTAAAACGAACGATCTTCGTTGGCGTCGCGATTGTCTTTAGCGCCGGTGGAATCAAGCATGGCTAGTGTGTTTGCTTCCAAGCCAGCGCCGTATGTATTCATCGCTCTGTTAGTGTTAGCCTTCGTCTCTTTGGACATCTTTCTCTTTTCGCAATCCCTTCACAGCAGGAAAGAAAAGAAACGAGGAGAGGAGAATTAACACTAGAACGGATCAATGGAGGAGACCCGGGGGAGCCCTAATCAACAGAAAGGCAGTTTTCCCGCCGAAAAGGAATTGTTCGCATAAAAAAAAAACTCCGTTGCCGGGACTCGAACCCGGGTCTCTCGGGTGAGAGCCGAGTATCCTGACCAGCTAGACTACAACGGATTTGATGTTGACTTCGTTCAACGTCTTTTACTTAAATTTAGTTTAGAAGTAAATGCTCAATTCGTACAACTGAACTAGGTGTTTTGCCCGCCATGCGGGCTTAAGCCTTTTATAATTATTTGTTAGTAAATATATTAATGATAAAAAATTAGAAGCATAAATTATTATTTGTGTTTTCATTTTGAATTTTTTTTATTTATCTTAAAAATTATTCACTATTATATTTTCAGTTATATAAAATTAAGAATTTTAATTAATTAATATGTAATTATTTGTTTTCTGCTTTTGAATTTTTAAATATTTTATCAAAAGATAGTTTTCGGATAACAATACAATATATATAGGAATTATCTTTAAAAATAAAATATATTTTTAGATTTTGGATAACTCTTATTGTTATTATTTAAAATAAATTATCTAATTAAATAAATTTAAATTTCGTTTTTAATCATAAAATTAGTTATATATAAAAATTTCATTAAGGGTAAAATAGATAATAACCGCTCTAACTTTTAACGTGAGAGCTCCATTGCGAAAAATCTCTTCGCAAATAATAGTTTAGTTTAGAAGTAAATGCTCAATTCGTACAACTGAATGAATAGATGTATAAAATCTAGCTTACTTTAAATATTTCTGAAAATTTGATAAATAACAGAAGCTTAAAAATATTGAGATTTTTTCTACTAAAGAATATTGTGATTTGTGACATAGTAACCAACCTCACGTAAATAATTAAGCTACTTGCGTTGGTCAGATTAAATTTTTAATAATCAGATATATACTCTCAATCAAAATTCTAAAAAAAGTTTGTTGACTAATACCCACTATTGATTAAGCCTTAGCAAGTAGTTCCAAATACATCTTCATGTCATGTCTTGAACTGTACATGTATATAAAGATTTGTCTCAATGATCAAGTAAGTTGAAATTTTTTGTTTTCAATGTATATGTTTTAAACTTAAAAAAATTGTTAAAGTGTGAAATACTCCAAATATTTACATCAAAAGGAAGATTTTAAAAGTTTCAGGTTCCGGAGCCGGAGGGACATAAAAGTCTGCACTCAAACCTGCTCTCGAATGGTCGGAGGGACGATCATTTTTGAGGTGTTGGAGCCGCAATTCAATAAGATTACTTGGATCTATCATACAAAGTATGTTTCTAATACATTGACTAAAGATCTCAATCTTTTTTTCATTTTTATTTATTTATATTAGTTGACTATATATTTTTTTAATTGTAATCTATGTTTCAAAGCGTGTGTTGTATATTATAATAAAGTTCAATTCTATTTTATACAGTTTACGACTCTCATCATTGTGTCAAATCTTTGGACCGACGAAAATCGTCTGATATGAATTACTTGGGAAAAAAGGTTGCTAATGACTTCACTTTTACATTTTCTTGTTCCGTTTCACATTAGATGATACTATTTCCAATGTTGGAGTTTTCTTTAACTCTAAATACAAATATATCTACAATATTTTATAAGATTATCTATAATGGTCATCTATATCTATACAATATTTGGAGAGTAACTACCTAAATGCAAATATATCTAAAATATTTTATGATATTATCTATAATGGTCATCCATATCTACTTATTCATAACACTTTTTTTGAATGATCTATTTCTCAACAATCAATTTACAACTCTGTTATATGTATACCACGCCCCCTCTATTCAGAGTTCAAAGTTTAGGGTTTTCTCTTCTTCCCAATACCAATAACTTGAACGACTAGAAAAAAATGGGTATGATTAGTGACTTACCTGACCCAATACTCCTTGAGATTCTCTCGTGGCTTCCAACAACAAAAGTGGTGGCCACAATGCTTTTGTCAAAACAGTGGAAGTTTCTTTGGAAGGAAGTGCCAAAACTCTATTATAATTATAACGAACACGAGGGCAGAGACTTTTCAGAATTCGTAAGCAAGTCTTTGCAGTTACAAGTGACTCCAACTTTCAAAAGTCTCAAATTATCGGTAAGTCCTTACTGCGACTCGAGGGATGTTAAAAATTGGATTGATTTAGCAGTTTCTCGGTCTGTGGTTGAGCTTGAAATCGACCTTACCGCTGCTCAAAACCCGATGATCACGGCTCTTCCAAAGAGTGTATACACTTGCGGGACACTAAGTTGTTTGAGGCTAAAGGCTCTAGCACTCGATGATATACCTGAAGACTATCAAATCTATCTTTCATCACTTAATTATTTGTACGTCTCCGTGTCGTTTCAAGTGTCGTCTGACAATTTTATTGGCAAGCTCACTGCTGGTGCTCCTCTTCTCAAAATGGCTGTGGTGCAAGGTCCTGTCTATGGTGATCAGTTTCTTGATTCTATGACAAGTTATTGCGAGCTGAGGAGATTTAGAACGTGCTTATCAGAGGTATAAAAAAAAGGAATTTTCTATTTTTACTAATTTACTATTCTGTTGAAAATATATATTCGTTTCAAAAAGTTAAACGTTTTAGTTTTTTCAGAAAAAAAATAAAATTTTGATTACCAATGCATCATTTATTATAGATAACAAATCTTATATTTTTTAACCAATAGAATTTTAAAAACACAATTAATTTTTTTTAAAATTTACAATTTTTTATTAAATTATACATTGAAAATGTAAAAAATACATCTTTTGAAACAAATATTATTCCTATAATGTTCATTTTTTTAAACGTAGAGAATACTCACTAATTAACTCTAATGCAGTGGGGCCCCACAGTCGACTCTTACTTTAATAAGCTTGAGCATTTGTGTATGTGCACATTTTCCTCTGGATGGTGGGATTTGCTAATCAATTTTCTTCATTGTTCCCCTATATTACGCCATCTCCAGCTAATCAAGGTACATTCTTTTTTTTTTTTTTTGAGAACTTGACAATGAAACTAAAGCTTATTTTTGTCTCTCCTCAGTCTTGCAACTCGCGGCCTGTGTCTTGTCTGAATCAGCCAGGTTTTACTAGTATTACTCATGTTCCGGAATGTTTGTCAACAACACTTCAAACCTTGGAGTGGAGAGACTATGCAGAAACTGAGTTTGACATGCCGATGGCTTCTTTTATCCTTAAGAACGCTACACGTTTAACCGAGGCCAAGATCTTCCCGGAATACGCTGCCGGTCCAAATGAGAAGCTTAGAATCCGCACTGGTCTAGCAAAGTTATCTAGAGGTTCACCTACATGTCATCTTAGCTTCGGGAATTAAATTTCAAAATTCATTATATATTCTTAACAACTGCTTATTTAATGTTTTGGAAAGTTTATCGTCTCTCCATATAGGATTCTTTTGCTATATTCATGTTGGTTTTTTTGGGTCTAATCGTGATCTAACTTACTTTATCTCAAAGCTTAATGATCTTTATGCTAAGAAACGGAAACGAATTAGTTATATTTTCTTACCTTTTCTTGTCATGCAAGTTACTAATTCAAGAAGTACAACAAAAAGAGATAGTCTGATTCGTTTTTGACACGAAATGGAGTTATATAAAGTCACTTTCGATGAGTTTTCTTATTATCTGAGTTAACAGACACGACGGCGTGTGTGGTCCGGCTAGCCACCCCATGTACACCGGGCCGAGGCCGAGCGACAAGTCCATCCAAGTGCACCTTCGTACATCATGCGACAAATTCCCTTGTTTCTTGTGTCTTGGCATGAGGTAGTAAATATGTATGTAAGAAAAGTGTTAAAAAGTTTTATCGAAGCCTGAGGGACATAAAGTTCAGTCATCACAACTTCTCTCAAACAGGTCATAGGACGATATGTTCGTTGAGGTGTTAGAGCCGCAAAATTCAATAAGATTACTTGAATTTATCATACAAAGTATCTCTCTAATACATTGAATTAATATCTTACTCTTTTTCTCAATTGTAAGCTATGTTTCAAAGCGTGTGGTATATATTATATCTTACTCAATTTGGAAATATTAAATTTACTTCAATTATAGTTTATACACGCCTCTCATCATTGTGTCAAGTCTTTGAAGTTTGAACCGACGAAAAATCATCTGATATAATCATTACTTGGAAAAAAGGTTGCTAATGAATTAAGTTTTACATTTTCTTGTTTCATTTCACATTAGTTTGATATTTTGTTATCAATTGCTGTCTTTCTCTAGCTAGGCTTCGAATAGTATTAGTTAACTATTAAATACCAACAAGATTAGGCCATAAATCGAAGAATTTTCTTGTATATAAAGTTCAAAGTAGTACTAGGGGTCATCAGAATTTATAATTAATAAGTTTACAAAAAAAAGAATTTAGAATTAATAAGTTTACAAAAAAAGGAATTTAGAATTAATAATTTAAAGCTGCACTAAACTAACAGTTTGTTCCAATAACTACAATTCTCTAAAACGGATTTGTGCCTCTCGTGGGAACACATCATAGATTCCCATGAAAGGTAAAACTCAAGACTAATATGTGCATCACAAGAGGTAATATATCACCTTTTTTTTAATTGTCTGAAGTCTGCGTATTAATTAATATATTCAAATAAAGTATACTCTGCATCTGGTCTTTTTCAAGAGTACTTTTTCATTTAATTATTTCTCATAAATAGGTGTACACAATCTCAATGCTTCAAAAATTAAGTAACATTAATAGGGTTTATTTGCCAAATAGCTAGGAAAAAAATGAAAATTAGTTTTTTAGGAGAGAGAGTAGAGAGAGATAGGAAGAAAGAAGGGGAGAGAGAGTATAAATTTGGCTATTTAGCTAATTATGGGTTTTTGTATGGCTATAGGATCCAATTTCCCACATTAATATATCTACTAAATTCAATTTTCTGATGATATTTTCATACATAATCCATAATGATACGTGTGAATACACACGTCCAAAACCCTGATTTCACGAGGAACATAAAACCCTCCATGAAACGAGGTGGTCAGTAACTTGGAACACAAGTTTCACCAACCGTACTTCCCACTTATCCTGCCGCCGAATTCCCATTCAACCCACACACAAACTCCTCAAAAGCAACCATCTCTTTAAAAGGCACCAACACACGTACTCTTATTCAATTCAACAATGGCTTTTGGAATCATCCAAGAACCAGACGGAGAGATCCTAAAAAATGTTTGGGCAAATTTTATAAGAAAACCAGAAACCGATACAACATCAGTCCATATTCCAGAAGTTTCCACAACTTGGGAAGCATTGCCAACCCTTGACGACGTACCAAAAAACTCCAAAAGAAGTCTTCCAAGCCTAGATTACATGTCGATGGAGGCCAAGGAGTGGGCAGAGATTCTCGACGTGGTTGCTTCTTTCCCAAACGAAACCAATCATGACCCATTAACCAATCCAACAGGTTCATGTTCTTTCTTACCTCCGGTTTCTTGCAAAACAAGGAAATACAGGGGAGTAAGGAGGCGTCCCTGGGGGAAGTTCGCAGCAGAAATAAGGGATTCGAGGAGAAACGGTGTTAGAGTTTGGCTCGGGACGTTCCATACAGCAGAAGAAGCAGCTATGGCTTATGATAAAGCCGCAGTTAAAATAAGAGGAGTCCAAAAAGCTCACACAAATTTTCAACTCGAGACGGTTATAGAAGCTATGGAAATGGATTGCGGCTCAAGTTACTACCCGATAAACCGCTTAAGTACGTCTCAACCTCTAAGAAACCACCGAGAAAAAGAAGGGATTATGGCCTATGATGATAAAGCCATTGATGGGATGGTTGAAAACAGTTGTGCCCCTAGCTATTGTTCAACTCAGGAATGCTTTGACATCTGTGGGTTGGTTGGGAATGAAGATTCTTGGTTAAGTTCAAGAAAGAGACAAAGAAGAGATGAAAATTGTATGTTTCAAGAAGTTGAGACTGATGTGAAGATGGCTACCAGGGGAGAAGAGAAATGTGATGTGTTTGGTTTGTTTGAGTTTGAGGAGTTTGGAAGTGATTATTTGGACACATTATTATCTTCTTTTGACTGAAAATATAAACATTACTGTACGGATTGTTAATTATTAGCACTAACTATACATACATATGGATACCTGTATATTATTTATGTAAAGGGTTTCAAACCAGTTAATTTTATTCTTTCAATACAATGTAGTCATGTAAAAAGTAATTAATTCATACGAAACTTGATATATTCACGTAATCTGCTGTATTAGCTGATCTTTTGATGATGTATACTATGAATAATGTTTCCAGTGATGTACTGTAACCAATCTATAAAATTGAGGTATAGAACTAAAGGTGGACAAAAAAATTCAAACCGAACCGATCCCAACCAATCCAACCGAAGTTAAACTGAATCAAATACAAACCAAACTATACCTAATCAAACCAAATCATAATAAAGTGAACCGAATTAAATCTAAACCAAACCAAACCAAACCCCTTCCAAAGCTACTTCCGTTTTGTTTGTGTTGAACTGAATTATAAAATCGCAAATTAACCAAACTAAACCGTATCCAAACCGAAGTTTAATCAATCGGAATCCTCTAAAACCCTAAAGCGCCAAGCAGCTTTTCACTCACTTTCCCTTCGTCGTCGTCCTTTTCTAAAGCTCTCAGAGAGATTCCACACCACCAAGATGGAGCTCAATTTATCTTCCAAGGCCTTAACCAACCTCAAAACCCCTCCACTCGTCCCTAAACCCACCTCGAGAACTCTCTCAAACCCATCGAAATCTCTCTGCTTAGCTTCTCTTCACCGGCTTCCCAGAGCTTCCTTCTCTCTCTCTTCTTCTGATTCTCTCAAGCTAACGACTTCAAGAAAGGTAATTTAATCGTGGGTTTATGTCAAAACGCTGTGTTTTGTATGTAATCTTAACTGAATTGGCGATTTAAAAATTTGTAGGTGTTAGCAATGTCCGTGGGAAGTTCGAGAGACTTGGAGATGTCGAATTTAACGGCGTTATCTCCTTTGGACGGACGTTACTGGGGGAAAGTTAAGGACTTGGCTTCTTCCATGAGTGAGTTTGGTTTAATCTACTTCCGTGTACTTGTCGAGGTAACGTTTTTTTTTTTGTTACTATTAAGTGGAAAAAGGCTTATTTTGTTAATATGTTCAGATTCATTGATTGAAGAAGAAGATTGTTTCTTTTTGTTAGATTAAATGGCTTCTTAAGCTTTCAAGGATTGCTGAAATCACTGAAGTTCCAAGCTTTAGCAAAGAAGCTGAGGCTTACTTGCAAGTGATCATCGATGGGTTTAGTATGGATGATGCGTTGGAAGTTAAGAAGATTGAGAGAGTAACTAATCATGATGTTAAGGCTGTTGAGTATTTTTTGAAACAAAAGTGTGATTCACATCCTGAGATTGCTAAGGTTTTTTAAAAAGAACATTTCTCTTTTGCTACATTTAGGTTTGTTTTTTTATTTACTTATGTCTCTGTCTTTTTAATCAAATTTCAGGTTCTTGAGTTTTTCCATTTCGCTTGCACATCTGAGGATATTAATAATCTGTCCCATGGTTTGATGCTTCAAGAGGCACTTACTTCGGTTATACTTCCATCCATGGATGAGCTGATTAAGTCAATTTCTCTGATGGCTAAGGAGTTTGCATATGTCCCCATGCTCTCACGAACTCACGGACAGGTATTGTCTAAAGAAAAGACCATTTTTAAAGCAAATTGTTATGGTTTTGATTCTGACAGTTCATTTGGTTATCTGACACAGCCAGCTTCACCTACAACATTAGGGAAAGAGATGGCGATTTTCGCTGTGAGGTTAAGCGAAGAGAGGAGATACCTTGCGGAGACTAAGATCAAGGGAAAGTTTGCAGGTGCTGTTGGGAACTACAACGCTCATATCTCAGCTTATCCTAACATCGACTGGCCTCATGTTGCAGAGGAGTTTGTTACTTCTCTCGGTTTAACATTTAACCCATACGTGACTCAGGTATATACTCTATAGTTTTTATCTTCCATTTCCTTGTTTATATATCATTGAGTGATTGATTGGTCTTATGGTCTTTGCAGATTGAGCCTCATGACTATATGGCTAGACTTTTTAACACAATCAGCCAGTTCAACAATATCTTGATTGATTTCGATAGAGATATATGGAGCTACATATCTCTAGGCTACTTTAAGCAGATAACCAAAGCTGGTGAAATTGGATCATCTACAATGCCTCACAAAGTGAATCCTATTGACTTTGAGAACAGTGAAGGGAATTTAGGAAAAGCTAACGCAGAGCTTGCTTTTCTTAGCATGAAGCTTCCCGTTTCAAGAATGCAGGTTCGAGTTTCTCTTTTTTACTGTGTCTCTGCTAAAGATAAGCTAAGCCTGATTGAATGTACGATGTGCAGCGTGATTTAACCGATTCAACTGTGTTGAGAAACATGGGTGGAGCTTTAGGACACTCTCTTCTAGCTTACAAGAGTGCGATACAAGGAATCAGGAAGCTTCAGGTATTACTACCGTAGCCCTTAAGAAAGGTTTTTCACTTGTTATAAGCTAAAAATGCTGTTTATATATAGGTTAATGAAGCTCGGTTAAAGGAAGATTTGGAGCAAACTTGGGAAGTACTTGCTGAACCGATACAAACTGTAAGTTTCTCTTGACTTTCTACTTCATGTTAGCTTTGCTGATTCGTGTTCATGGTATTGTCATAAAAGGTGATGAGGAGATACGGTGTTCCAGAGCCGTATGAGAAGCTGAAGGAGCTAACGAGAGGAAGAGCTGTGAATGAAGAAAGCATCAGAGAGTTTATCAAAGGTTTGGATTTGCCTGAAGAAGCAAAGTCTCAGCTTTTGAAGTTAACTCCACACACATATGTTGGTGCTGCTGCTTCGTTGGCTTTGGCTGTTGATGAAGCTCTCCACTTCGGACACTGATGATGATGATGAAGATCAAATCAGTTTGTGTTGTATTATTATTTCTCTTTTCCAAATGAATGAGGGAGAGTCAAATTCATAAATTGATGACATTTACGTCGTCGTTTAGAGTGGTGAGAATAATCTTTGTATTGTTATGTTTTCTCTTTCAGATATTGACATCATCAATTAATCCAGTCCACTCTCTTTTGATCTAGAATCTTGAATTATAAGTTGTTGTCCTGTATCTAAGCAAAAGAAATATTCCTTAGAACTTCTAGAATTTCCATAAATTAGAAACCTCGAATTTATCAAAAACTAATAGTTTTTTTTTTAATGTTGGATAACAATTATATCTTCATTTCATCCACAATTCTATTATATATAATAATTAATTAATTGTAACATATGTGTTTTGATGAATAGCTCCACAAGAATGCTTTCTTTTAAATATTTGGACTAATGAACAATTCTGCATGTACAACACTTAGAACTTCTAGAATTTCTGATAATTATAAAACTAAGATCACAATGAATAGTTCTGTTTACAGCACTCTAGAACTTTTGATAAGTTTGTAATCAGTAATAAAGTTATATTTTCTGAAATTCGAGTCACATATCTATGAATAATTTTTTAAAAAAAATTAACCATTATACTATGGTGTTTAACAAACTAATAGTCATGTAAAATTCAAAAATTGATTTATTGAATAGTTAATATATTTAATAATTAAGGGTTAATAGTAAAATATTTAGACAAATATAAATGCAAAATAATGTTATGGTACAATAAATGCTACGAATATTTTGTCATACTCAGAGTTTTATTTTGTAAATTTATCCATTTTTACCATTAGTGTGGGCGTTCGGGTGCCCATTCGGATTCCGTTCAAATCTATTCGGATTTCGGGTTTTCGATCTCACCAATTTAACCAATTTTAACCCCATTCAGATATTTCTAAATTTCGGTTCGGATTCGGTTCAGATCTTTGCAGGTTTAGTTCGGGTTCGGATAACCCATTTAATTTATTTTTAACATTTTAAAATTGATTATATACTCTAAATTTCTAAAAACCTATAAACAAAATAATATATTAGAAATAATTGAATAACATAAGTTAAAATGCCTAAAATTAACGTATGAATTAGTTTGATTTGAATATATTTTTTTATGGCATTTACAATGAATAGTTTGAGATACACAATTAATGGTTGAGGATACCATGATAAAAGAAAAGATTTGTGTATCTCAAACCATTAATTGTAAATGCCATAAAATTTAAAACAACAATTTATCAACATACATAACTTTTCTCCAATATCTTCCTACATACATAACTTTTCTCCAATATCTTCCTACATATTAATATTACTATCCTTTAATTTATGGAATAGTTTCCACGTGGTTTAAATTGATCAGAACTATTTATATTGAAAGATATCATATTGGATAATGATGATATATGTTGGAGATATATATGAGAATCGTATAGATTATTATGAGATCCGAAAGATAGGCAGTCACATTGTTGATTAGACTTGTATATATATAGTCATGAGATCAATACTAGATCTATGCTTTGTGATGCATTTAATCTCATTCAAGAAAAACTAAAACGACAAACAAAAACCAATAAGGTTTTCGTCGTTACCCACTACCCCTGGTTTTGATTCCATTCGAAACGCACAACAAGATATCATCTATCATTATTATCATACGATCATTGCAACATCTCTTTAAGATTTTTATTACATCAACCTAAGACTTCAGTTCTTGTTCTATACAGTATCTTTATTTTGGTTTTCTTAAAAAGTTAATAATGGGAGCGTACGGAGCCGATGCTGACTACGATTATCTCTTCAAACTAGTCTTGATTGGAGACTCGGGGGTCGGAAAAACCAACCTTATGTCTCGATTCACCAAAAACGAGTTCAGTCTCGAGTCAAGGTCTACCATTGGTGTAGAATTCGCCACGAGAAGCGTTCATGTCGACGAGAAAATCATCAAAGCTCAGCTTTGGGACACCGCCGGTCAAGAGAGGTAAACAAATCATCAGTGTTCTGTCTTTTTCTCTCTCTTGTTTGTGTTGTTTTGCGCCGGTTAATAATTGCAAAGTAATCTGAAACAAACCAAACCAATCCCTATATTTAAACCGAATTTGAGTCAGGATATGTTTATTTTTCAGTTTATCAAATACTCTGGTTACTGATTTTATTTAGCGTAATTTAATAAACCAAAAATTGTTAGAGTTTTATATATTACATAAGATGTATGAGAAATTTTGATTTAGTTGCATAAATATAATACTAATAAGAAAATGAAGTCAATATTTTTTTTTTTGAAACACGAAGTCAATATTTATTTTCTATATTTAATTTGCTATGTTTCTTCTAATTATGCTATTTTCTCCGGCTATGTTATTAAATAGATACAGAGCAATCACGAGTGCATACTACAAAGGTGCAGTAGGAGCTCTTATAGTATACGACATAACTCGACACATAACGTTCGAGAGCGTTGAACGATGGCTCGAGGAGCTTCGTGCCCATACAGATGCCAACATCGTGATCATGCTTGTTGGAAACAAAGCTGATCTTATTCACCTTCGTTGTGTTCAAGAGGAGGAAGCTAGATCTTTCTCTGAAAGAGAGAACGTGTTCTTTATGGAAACATCTGCCCTTGAGGCTACAAATGTCGAGCAAGCCTTCACTCATGTCTTGACTCAGATCTATCGTGTTATGAGCCGTAGAGCTCTTGATGGCACTGGAGATCCAACCTCTTTGTCTAGAGGACAGAACATTGATGTACGTAGCAAAGATGATGTTTCTGCTGTTAAATCATCTGGTTGTTGCTGAATTTATTATTTTGGGAGCTAGGGGGTATGGTTTAAAGTTGGTCTTATAACACAGATAGACTTCTGTTATAGTTTTTCTAGAACCGTCCGAAAACCCCAAAAATATTACACAAGTTGTTTTTAAATTTTTATCAGTCTGAAGTTTTAAAATGCGTTTTTCCCTAACATTTTGATTATACTTTGTTAGTTGAGTTATTGTTTTCTATGAAGTTTTGTTATCATTTGAATATGGGTTTTGTTGCCAACAAACATATTACTGACCACTCAATCCTGATTATTAGTTTAACGAACCACAATTATTCATTTGATTTGTATTCAAATTTAATACATGTAAATATAATAGGTGGCTGAAGCAAAGTCAAACCGAACAAAAACTGACTAGTCCAAACCAAACCTGAACTTGGAACCAAAATGCTGGTCCCTAGCTCTCGGACTAAATATTTTTTGTAGAAGATTTGGTTGTGAATTATTGTCAACACACGAGTAGTCAACATGAACTGAAAGTTATAACTAAAACTAAGGCTTTGGTACGAAGTACTAACAAAGTCAAGAGACGGAGAAACCTATTCATAATGGAATATTACTCGTTGATTAGTAATCTAGAACTTAGATGTTGTACTCTAGTCACCAAGTAACTGAACAAAATACAGTGATCAATTGTGGCAAACTTTTGTACTCAAAATAGGATATACAGTTAATAATACACATACAACAAAAAGCACACAGAGACCAACGTGAAATGAAAGGATAAATAACATAATGATTTACTAAACCCGAAAAAAAGAAAGAAAGAAGATCTACCTTGTACAACACGGAGCCAAGTTAGGTCCACCGGCCTCATTATGACAAAATCGTTCCTTCCAAGTCTCATCAATAACAATATTGATGAGATATATCATAGTTTTTCTTCGTCCATTACAATCTTTCAAGAATTCATAGCTTTTCTTTCAAAAAAAATGGTAATAACAAAATATGTAAGTTGTAACGTGCAGGTCTCAATGCGTGTCTTGTATGCATTTCGTATACTGACGTTAGTTAAAAACAATGCAAATAGCTTTCTTTTCTAAAGGAACCAATATTCAGGTAAAGGAAACGAATATACGTGGTTGACTAAGCACTTTACGTTTTACTTATCTATTTGTTAGCGAGACCTTACTTGACCTCCACGATGGATCAGTCTTGGACCCTTGATTATTAAAAGAAGTTATGAGATAATCCAAAGATTCTCAACACACGCGAATATTTTCATGATCGAAGTTATTATCTAATCGGTCGATCAGATCATTCTTATTCACGCTCTCCTCATTGACATTTGACACGGTTTATATAAGAATCTCCAGGATATTACGAAAATTATCAAATATATTTAAAGAAGTATTATTAATAATTAAGTATAAAAAAGTTAACAACATGGAGAGTTCTTCATACGATATTACTTGTCAAACTCAGACATGTTACGATTTTCCATAGAAACCTTTAAAACTAGTAATATATACGCTAAAACGAATCAGAATATAAATGATTATCTTGAAACAAAAATAAATTATATACCATTTTAAAATAAAAATGTGTGAAAGAACATCCTTAACTTAAAGTAAACAAAGACTTTGGTTTGGTCGCAAAGGTTACTTGCAAGGCATTAGAAGAAGCGTAAAGTAGCTTTTCTCGCACCTCTCTTATATATAGCCTTTACGTACTTGAATCTCATCATTATCCTTAATTTCTTCCATCAGAAAAGATTTTCCAAAACCAGAGAAAAGCATAGAGGATGAACAAAGGAAAAAGCGTCAAAGATATGGAGATCAAAGTTGTTGAAGAACATCAAGAAAGCACTAAAGAAGAGATCGAGAAGCCACTTCTAGAAGAAAACAAAGACTTTCCCGATATAGAAAGAACAACATGGATACAAAAAGCCATAGGTCAAACATTCCAAACCACAGCTCATTTAGCTAATCTCTTACCAACGGGAACCGTCCTCGCGTTTCAACTCTTATCACCAATTTTCTCAAACGGCGGTCAATGCGATTTAGTTAGCAAGATCATGACATCGGTACTAGTGGGAATATGTGGGTTCTCTTGTTTCATACTTAGCTTCACGGATTCTTACAAAGACAAGAACGGTTCTATTTGCTACGGATTTGCAACATTTCACGGGTTTTGGATCATTGATGGTTCAGCAACGCTTCCTCAAGAGTTATCTAAAAAATATAAACTAAGGTTTATAGATTTTGCTCATGCTTTCATGTCGTTATTGGTGTTTGGTGCGGTGGTTTTATTCGATCGGAATACGGTGAATTGCTTTTTTCCGGCACCGTCAGCTGAAGCGTTGGAGGTTCTCACGGCGTTGCCGGTAGGCGTGGGGGTGTTTTGTAGTATGTTGTTTGCAACATTTCCTACAACACGCAATGGTATTGGTTTTCCTGTTCCTGGTAATAAATGATTGATTCAATATATTATGTTATTTATTTGTAATTATTTTAATCTATATACTTAACTTGTTTGGTCGAGATTCTTTCGTTTAGAGATCACTTTGAAAAGACATTACAAAATCATGTAAACGTTTCTAATAGAGATGTATGCAATGCAAATAATCATAAGAATTTAATGTAAAATAAGTAAATAACATTCATGAGTAATATATTAATTAACGATATTTTCAAAGTAGTAAGTAATATATATGATTGATTAAGATGAATTGCAGTGTTGAAGGCCCATTACGCCTTTTTAACCAAAAAAGGCCCATTAAGCCTAAATTATAGAATTCACCGCGTCACACAATGCAACACCCCTAGAGCTCCGCCGTACCGAGATCTGCAGAAAACAGATCGATAGTCAGGAAAGTCAACTATCTGATTCCTAACACTAAAAGTTATTTTTTTTAAGTAAATGAAATTTGATGTACCAAAATTTAATTTTAAAAAAGACAAAAAAAAGAGGTAATTTAGATTACCTCAAATCGTCATCTCAGATTAGCACGTCTCCGGATGGACCAACCCGACTTCAGATCTCTTAGTAAGGATCCGGCATAGCAGAAATTTTTTGCTGCTGTGTAGTTAGGCAAACTACTCCCATGAGATTGTTCTCGTGGAGCTTTGAGAGGAGAATTTAAACTTTCCTTCTCAATCGGGTACCAATATGTTCCTCGAACCCTGGTGTGACACTATTTGCGTGCTGAGTCATACCAGTTTGCCTTGGTTCGAATTGGTGTCCACACATCCATTTTTTTAATATTTAATTAAAAGATAAAGTTATTAATTCTCGGTTTAATCCGGTTGGATATAAGAGATTCTCAGAGTCAGATTAAAGTGTTCACGTACAAAACCATTTTTTGTTCCCAAGCAATTCATCACATGGCAAATGATGGAATATAGTCAAACGAGTTTATCTTTTCTAGAATGGTCAATGCTTGTGCTGGCTTAGGAGTTTAGATGTTAACGTAGGAAGAATAAAACAAATGTTGTATCAACCGGTTTTGTCCTTCAAATTGCCCTTAATTTTTTTTTTTCTTTTACTTTGAGCTCATCAAAAGTCTTTTTCATGGATGGGGCTTAAGAAAATGAAGGGAGTTTCATGGTAGTTATTAGTTTATGGTCGGTTTACATCTGAGTAGGTATTTTATCGAATCGGTTTTAGTTAATTATGAAAAGTGTTTTCATAACAGATATATGTGCATTCTCGTTGAATATATGCGTTTTTCATTAAAGAGTAGATGCAGCATGGAAGAAAGAGCTTCAGGCAGCAGGTCTTGCTTGGAACTTCTAGTCTTCAATCATAGTCAGAGTGAGAGAATCAGTTCTTACAATCAATCAATAGCAGTTGTGATCTTGTCCCTCGGGGATTGAAGGACCAGCAATGCGCTCAGCGATAGAACAGCAATAGAATATGTTATTATCACCTTCTAGATGAGATATGTGGTGTTCGGACTCCAAAACACAAAAGTAGGCCTCTGAACCAGCTTTGGTTTAAGCTTAATGAATTTAATCGGTTGTGCAAAAAAATAAAATTAAACACATATGTTGTGTCACTTCAAAGAGAATATGATTGCTCGTAACATGAACAACATTTAAGGAGTACTCTTGTTGGAATAACATAAATCTTAAAAAAAAGTATATACGTTTTAGAAAAAACTTCGAGGAACCAACCAGATAGGCACGTGGTAGTGGCAGAACAATGAAGAGTTCAACACTGCTTTGCTCTTCCAAGAATGCATAAGGAAAATATGAAATTCAATCAAACAACTATATGCTAATGTTCTTATCCACAGAAGGTAAAGTAATTCGTGAATTCTTTTTGAATAATTGGTGTAACCCTCTAAAGACAATTTTGCTTCTTTTGGGGGGGATCAAAAGAGAATTTATTTGAAGTTGACCAGAAATCAAGAGTTATATGTTTCTGTAGAAAATACTTCTAGAAGTTGTAGAGATATATTGAACGTACCAAACTTTAATTGAAAATATGTCATGTGTATCTCGTCCACGTAGAGATACATTTAACCAAACACGACTTGTCAAACCAAACAAGGGACCGTACTAACTGTTCCTATACTTCTCCGAAATTTCGTCTTTCTTATAGCTATGTCGTATTCTCCGTGATTCAACTTGTGAGATATTTTGGATATTTTGAGTAGTTGTTTCTACTTTGTTTGTTTTTTTGTGTTTGTTTCTATGCATCACCAAATAATAGAGGAAAGTTTGTCGTTACGTTTTAACGTTTATAATCTCTAACTCTGTCAATTTCAAAAGGTGTATGTACGGGTGTAGTCATACAGACCACTTGCACGATTTGGACCAGGGACAACCGTAGAACCATCTATTTCTTTTTTTAATTTCTTTAAAAACTTTATTCGAAACAAATTAAAACCGTGTTTCTGTAGATGACTCACCGTGCACTAGACTCTATATATACACCAAGAATTCTCCATTTGAGATAAGTAACTTAGAAACCAAAACACTTTTTTATTCACGACTTTTCTCTTCAAACATTTTCAAGAACAAGAAAATCTTGAAAGTATCGAGCTATCATGGTCAGATCAGAATTCGGAAGAAGGATATCTTTATCAGGAGCTGAGATAGCGCCCGCGGCCATGATTTTTCGCCGGGGATGTTCAATGATTCCAACACTAGAGACCATTTTCGAAGAAAGGTCAGATGATTCAGAAGTCTTCATGGGACAAGGACACCGTCTTTTACTTCTCGTTCCGGCGATCATATCGGCCGTCTCGTGTGTTTTGTTGTATAGACATGACCGTGTTGTTCGATTTTCTTGAACATGTTTACAAACATACATATGCATAAGGTTTTTTATGTAATTTGAGTTTTTGTTTTGTTTGGCAAATGTATAAGCAGAAGTGTATATAATCTTTTGTAATTCATTTGTTCATTTCATTCTCATATATGAATATTTTTAACATGTTTTTAGTGCTCAAGAGTTCTTAATGTCTTACCAATAAGATGTTTCAACATGGCCGAGTTTTTGACAAATGAATTCATATGCAACACAATTTCTAGTAAATAGAACCAACCTTTTAAAGTCTTAGTTCCTTATTAACCTAAAACTATGGAGAGATTTTGTTATTAACATCACACGCAGATTACAAATTAAAGAATCATTAATAGCCATTGACAGTTTTGTACAAGACAAAGTACAAAAGCATTGAGAGTAGAAGAGGAAGAAAGATGACAATCCGTTTTGGCGCTTGAACTGCAAAACTATCACATCCTTCTTCAAAAATAGTCTCCAACTTAGGCTGTGACATGCTCCTCGACAATCGCCTCTGCTGAATCCGATGAGATAGTGAAGGTGCCACCTCTCCCCACGTCTGAATAAACCTCATATTATTCGACATTTAACGATGCAGTTCAAAGAGTTTTGTGATAAAAGACAAGTTCTTTTGACGTCTTTAAATGGTTATATATATACAGAGAAGACTTTTTTACGGTTATATAAAAATGGTGAAAACGTCAAATATCCAAAAATAGAAAGACAATGACGTGTTAATCTCTTACTATTAATTTTTTGCCAAACTTAGAAGAATTTCAAGAAAGTAAAAATCAGTTGATTTACAGACCAAGAATAAATAAATCAACTATTTAGGTGGTTTTCCTAACAACAAAAAATCTTAGTTATATTAAATTTATATGTTGATTGTACTATGCAATTCGTTATAGACTGACATGGGACATCTGTAAGAAAATTACATACATTGGCTATTATTTTACTTTCTGTCAAAAAAATATAATTAGTTCGCTTTCAAAGCGAAGAAAAAAACACTCTGTGAGGAAAAAAAACTCCTTCAATGGCGGAAGAAGAGAAGCGAACCACACCGGAACCTACTCTCCCTTCTCCACCGCGATCTCCATCAAAGCCCAATGATCCGCCGCCGGAGACACCCACTCCTCCTGCTAGATTCGATCCTAGTCGAAGTAAATTCTCTAATTTCCCCCAAATTTATTCTGCAAAACATCAAATTGATTTCTAGGGTTTGCTTTCTACGCCTTAGCTTATAAACCTTCGATTAGATGTAATATCCCCAAATTCGTTTCCCCCATTGTTAATTATACCCAAAGATCGTTCCTTTTGCTAATGGGTTTTTGCTAAAGTGTAGAAAGAGCTTAGCTTTGTTTTGATAGTTAGAGATTAGAGCTGCAAATTTGATTGATTGATTGATGAAAACATTCATGAATGTGTTTACTGATTGTGTCATGATGCATTCACCAGCTTGCTCTGTGTGTTTTTGCTTATTTTAACATTCTTCATTATTTGTGTATTGTATCTAATTAAAAATGCTTTCTTGATCTCTCACTCTGTTGGTGTGAAAGTGGTTGGGATCATCAAAAGGAAAGCTTTGATTAAGGATCTAGCTGCAGCTTATCAGGCCGAGTGTGTTGCTTATTGCCGAGAACTTCTGGAGCTTCAGAAGAGAAAGGACGAGGTTTGAATGAATCTGTCTCCTCTCTGTTCTTTGTGAAGGAAGGATATACGAAACGCACGTTTAATTGTTTCTTTGTATGTTCTCATTGTGTCGTATGGACTTGTTAGCATTAGGGTATAACCGCTGTAGACATATGTTTAAGTTGTGCAATGGACCCATTGTTAGTCTCATGAAAAATGAAGAAAACATGAGTCTTGTGAATTAGTCTAAAGACCAGATTTTTGTGTGTGTGGAAATTGTTTAAACTTTGGAATCCAAATTGGTGAAACTCAGTGGTAAAATAAACTATGCTTAGAGGCTTAGATTCATGTGTTGTAGTAACCTGTATTGATTTTTGCTCCTTTTTTTTGTGTGTAGCCGTTTGTGGACACAAAAGCTTCAGAAGATCTGAGAAAAGAGACGTTGAGGTCTTCTTCCAAACGACCTAAGAAAAAACGTTAAAATGAGAAGAGAAAAACCACTTGTGTGATGATCCTTAATTTCTACGATGGTATGATGTTTATAGATCAGTTCTCATATTTTTTTATGGTAGTGTAAAAGCTTCGAACTTTATTTGATTTTAAGCGTATTTACACTTGTGCGAATACCTTTTCTAAAGATATCTCTTTACTAAAAGACCAAATTGGAACCTTTGCAACATTGGAGATCTTCGTCTCCATATGGTGGTGGGAGGCTAATGAGCTGAACTATCTTCCCTTGTTGATCTTCTCGACCGGTGATGCCTTTTATTTAGCCAGAATCATATGGCCACTAAAATTTGTGAGACTTTACACTTTTAGATCGCATTGATTAAGAAAATAATAGTGCACATATAAACCTTACAAAACCAAACCACCGTTTTAAACCGGAACTCAACCATTGATAATAGGCCTTAATTTCTGCATTCTTGTCCAAATCTTTTTTTTTTTTTCACTGAAGATTTTGTTATATTGATAAAAAGGGCCAAGCCCATAAACAAGAACCAAATCCACATACACTAAAAACCAACAAAGGCCCAAAAGCCTACGGGCTGACACAGAAACGTCAAAGCCCAATTACACTAACCCGGCCCACGGCCCAGACATTACCCACCCGACGCTTTGACCGAGAGACGCATCAAGGAAGCTGGACACATGGATAAATCTGCACCGTTCGGACGTCACGCATCACTAACGCCTCGACTTGATCGTCATCGTCTCGCACAATCGCCGGAGCACCACCATCGCCTTGACTTGATCTTCACCGCCTCTATGTCTTCTCGCCAGAGGGATCCATCGTTTGAAACGAGATCTCCTCCGCCTATGAACCACCAAAAACCCTAGACAAACGAGTCGAGAACCACCGCAATCCTCCTCTAAAACATCATCACTGTCGCCGGAGATCTTCATCTTCGAAAGAGAGCTCCTCCGCAACGACCCACAAGCCCAAATCTGGCTCCAAGCACCACACCCTACTTAAATAACTCGAACCAGTAACTAAACCCAAAAGAGACCGGGTACCAAAACGGCAGCGTAGAACTTTGTAAGCCTCTACTCTCCGTGATCAAAAGCCGGCGAAAGGGGAGCTGACTAAGCCTCCTCATCCCGGAAACTTGAGCGACGACGGTGGATCTGAGAAAGCCTCCACCCCCCGCATAAAGACCGGCGACGATGGATCTAGGGTAGCCTCCATCTCCCAGGGAACAACAACTAGACATGCAAGCCGTTCCGTCTCCACCGAGAGCCTCCAAACAACCGCGCCGTTACTCCAAGGCAAACCACCGTATAAAGGTGGTCGTGGTCTCAGAGTTCCGACAAGGCGGTCATTGACGGGACTGTGAAGACGAAACGGAGAGGAACTACAAAAACGAAAGAAAAAGTTCTCCGGCGACGACACGGGCGCTCACGCGCCGGCCGTACGCCGGAGTAGGTAGAAAACTTTCTTCTCTCTCTGCTCAAACTGAAACGACTTCTTCGCGGAACTGGCATTCTTGTCCAAATCATAATACTAGAAAAATAATTTAATCCATAAATTCCTTTTTTAGCTGACTGGAAGTTCAGTACCTTGTACCGTAATCTCTGCCAGGTCTGAAGTTAGTATTTAGATATTTCGATTTTAAATTTAAATTTTCATAACAAATGGTTTGAACGAGGCACAAATACACCAACTTCTTTGTAGTTTGATTTTGTAGTTTTGAAGAAAAATTCAGATTTTGTAGTTTTGGTGAAAATTTCAGTTTTAAGAATTTGGCAAAAAAATATAATTTTGAGTTTAGGCAAAAGAAAAAAATTATTGTTTTGGTAAAATAAAAATTCTAGTTTGCAGTTTGGACAAAAAAAAATCAATTTTGTGAGTTTGTAAAAAAATGCGATTTGGAGAAGAAAAAAAATGTGAATTCGTGGTTTTAATAGGACAACATGATTTTATGATTTGGCTGAGGACTCGATTTTATGGATTTAGTGGAAAACTCAATTTTATGATATTTGCAACAAAAAAAAATAGTTTTTTATTTTTTCAATGATAAAATTTAAATTTACAGTTTTGACAGAAAAATAAAAAAGGTTTAAAATATATATCGAATAATAATTAATATGCAGTAGTTATTTTTGTATGTTCTAAAGGATATTAAAATCTTTTAGATTTTGATATGCAAATACTACATCCAAACTCCATATTTTTGGCATTTCAAATATCTAGATTTTTATGTTAAGAATTTAATCCAGATTGAGCATCTAGATGCTGATTCAATAGTGTCCAAATGAACATCAATCATATTACATTCGTATTCAAATGCAACATCCAACATTAAAAACGATCACAGCCTTAGGCCATACACTCATGTTATAACATCGCATTTTTATTTTCTTGTCTCATATTTTTGGGAGCATTTCATCTAGCTTTAGTTATAGTTTAATTTTAAATCTTGATGGAAACATGACTTTGAACTCACTTAACTAAAATAAATATTATATAGGTGTATGTTGTGGTCCTTCCATGATTGTTTGATGGATAAATAACCAATTAAATCAAATTTAGTTCATAGACTAGCTTGAAATAATTTACATGCTAAATTTATTAGAGTTTGTCTAATAATAGAAAGGTATATACCTCTGGGTAGACCTATTTTCCGAATCACAATAAGGGTTTATTCCATATAGAGCGTGTGGAAGCTTAATGGACAAAATAATCATGCGTCATGATCCACTAGATTCATTAATGGTCCACTTTAAAAGGACATCAACTTCACTTATACTTTAATGTACTCTCGTAAGTCTTAACTAATGACACACTTGACCCGGTTGATGATGAAAGTCCCATATAATAATTTCGGTCTGTTTTCTATTACTCCCTCCGTTTTATATTAAGTGTCGTTGTAGAGAATTTTTTGTGTTACAAAATAAGTGTCTTTTCGATTTTCAATGCAAAATTTATTAATTTTATTATGTAATTTGTTTTTCTATTGGTTAAAATATGGTTAGGTATATGGGTAATTGTGTTTTTATATAGGAAATATGTAAAATTAATTGTTTTCTTAATCCGTGTGCATAACTGTAGAGTGACACTTATATTGAAACATAGGGAGTATCTTTTTGCTACAGTAACACACAAATTTAACTAAAATCATCGAAACAAAAAATCAGTGTTTTTTTTAAATTCCAACAATAAATCAGTTTGTGAAGGTCCTTGTTTTACAGTATAATACAAAAAGGTAAAAATAAGTGACATGAAATAGTTTAGATTTCTCAAAAAAAAAAGACATGAAATAGTTTAGATATTTTATTTGTGTGCAAGGCAGTACGTACCAAACAATAATACATGTGCAGTAAAAGGCTGTTTATAAAATCATAACATCACATCACTAACTGTAGTCAAAACAGTACCACTACATTACGAATCTAGTAAAGAGTCAGATCCATGCATTATTTTTCGTTTTCTAAAATACCAATATCTAATTCTTGAAATATACAATGTAACCTTGAAACTTTTCATAATTATAATTATATTCTTCGCGAGTTTAGAATTTACAAATTCACTATGTATTTTATTGAGGATACCATGATTACTTTAATTTTATTTTCCAAAACTTATATGATCACAGTACTGTCTCTTTAATTTTTTTCTTAATGTATCTTTTAACAACCATACTTTGATATATTTAAAATCTATGTAGTACACGTACATCCTAGCTAAGCCTAAAAAGCAATGTAACTTGTTGCAAAAATAATAGTTAAGCGTTAAGTAAAAAAAAAAGTTACAAAAGCAATGTTTTCAGTTATCAAATTATCAATTAACAATTTTATTTTTAGAGTTCAAGCGAAAATGTTAAACAAGATAATACATATCAACATATAGCATCGAGAAGTTTAATTATTTTACTGAATACTTTATCGTGTCCCATGTTTTCTTGTTAAGAGAAAGGAGCTATATTTCAAAGTTACGTGGTAGCGGAATTCTCATATATACGATCTTTTGTTTGAGTATTTATAAAATAAATAAACCGAAAAAATCATGAAAATTGTTTCAGGTGGTTTAAATGATAGAAATTGAGGTACCATACCTCAAACTAAAAAGTAGCATAACGCTATAGTACGATACTACGATGTATATATAAAATAAATAGTTCCTAATGAAAGCTGATTAAAATCCTTATATTGTACTTGTAGTCAATAAGGTTGATATAAATATTCTAAAATGCAATATCTCATACGTGATAGATGAAATTTTAGCACATAACCATATATATCAACATTTAAACAAAATAAAATTTATATTTTTATTCAAAATATAGATATAAGATTAATATATACATTAGTTTTAGAAACTAAACATCAAATATGCTTTAAAAAGTTCATTTAATATATAAATATATTTTAACATATATAAATAGTTTCAAATTATAAATGAGTAAAAGATAAAAATATATTTTAACATATAATAGTTTAAAATTATAAAAAATATATTTAGATATAGAAAGATATTAAATTTTAGAAATTTATGGTTATTTCCTAAATAATCAAATTAACAGATATAATATAATAATATAAAAATAAGTAACAATTAATATTTAATCATTTGGCTTTTGAATATTAATATTTCAAATTCACTTAGACGTCCGTGTAGACCATATATTATCCGTCTAATCACTATTATGTACTTGAACTTTATAAATCCGTATAAAATATTGTACAATGTAAAAAAAAAAGTAAGATCATTTAGTACTATATAACGCCTAAATGATGTTAAATGGGGTCTTGACCCCTTTTAAAAATACTAACAAACAAGAAACCATGTTATAAATATAACTTTGAAAGTAAAAAAAATGTTATAGAACTTTGTTGTATATATAGAAAAAAAAAACTTTGAGAGTAAGCAGAAATTTGGGTGACCAAGAAGCAGACACGTGCAGTGGTCTGGTAAAGGCAACAATGATCGAGAAGTCAGCAAGTCTCCGTTAAGACAGCGACACGTGCTCTCAACACCCGTCGTGAACCACTTGCTGATCCACCTTTGGCTTCTTTTATTCTTACTTAATTACTATTATTGAATTCCACAAATCACATTAAAAGTTATTCACATTGTGCAAGTGCAAACATTGATTAAATTATACAGGTTTATTCCATGAGCTCAAGTGGTGTGATGTGGCCTAATGTGGGTCTGCATTCTTGATCAATATGATTAGCTAGGTGAAAAAGAAAAAAAAATATAAAGTTTTTATGCTTATGATTTTTTTTTTTTATCTTGTCATCACTAAATTTTGAAGAAATTAAGGAAATATGTTTTTTCTATCTTAAATGTTGCCGTAGGTTTAGATTATACCCATATTCAAAAGTTGGTGTAAATTGTTATTCAATTTGATATTATTTTATTAGTGTACATAAATTTCACAAAAGCTGGCCAATTTACTGTTAACGATCAGCCCTGTTCGTTTGGGTAACGCTGCAATCAGACTTGCGACTGGATTTTCTTCACAGTTTTCTGTTTTATTTATTTATGCGGTGATGAAACAGAAGACGTGCGATCAAATAATCAAAAAGCTCCCGTGACGCGGATGACGCAACAAATAACAACGGCTACTTTTGTCCCTATTCTCTCTCCTCAGCGGCTGAAAAACAGTGAAAAGTAGTGAATCCGTCGTTGATTCTTCCCTATCCTCCGTTATATTGTGTGACGCACATCTCTGGTTGCAGCGTTCGAGTAACGAACATGGCTGATATGAATAGCACATCATCATTTATATCATGACATTCTCCATGTTATAAATTTTAATTATATATACAATATATATATATTCAAATCTATCTGATTTATTATTTTTTATATATTCGAATATGAATTTCTCTAGATCCAAACACGTTTCAACAAAAAACACACATGTTATATATATATAGAAAGTTCAAAATCCTTGGCACTGAACTCTGAATATAAAATACTATTTGTAAATAGAGAAAAAAATACCCTTATGAAGACGATTTATGTTCCATGGATAGAAGTGTCATAGCTGACCCGAGTACTGTGTATAACATAGTATAGAAATAGAAATATGATAGGATGAAGTGACCCTTCCAGTTAAATTATTTGATTGTCTGACCACCCGCCCGATCTCGAATTTGACAATTTGAATACGACACCAAACTACTACGAAGAAATATATTTAGATGGTCTTATCCTTTAGATTACTTAAGACTATTATACCACAAAGCACAAACCCAAAAAATCTTAAAAGTTTATCTAATAGATCATATTAAACAAATCACACTAAAATTGTTTAAACTAATTATACGTGATAGTAAAAGATCACCCAAAATTATATACATCTTTGTATCTTTATGCCATTAAGGAGACAAATTTACCAAATACACAATCGACTCTGTGACATTAAGTGAATGAAATAATTGCTTGCGGCCGTTTATTTTATAAATTAGATTCAGTCACAAATTCATATCTTCTATTTAATCTATTGGCAACGCTCATATATTTCACATTTTTCAGTTTATAGATTTTACCACAAGTGGTTATAGTTTCAACCACAATTTTTTATTTTTGTTTCCGATCTTAAAAATTCTAAGATTGGTTCTGCAAATACATCTCATTTATTTCGTTGAGCTTGTGTTTCAAGACGCTCTGGTATTTATATGGTTAACGAATGGTCCAAAATGTTAAACTATGTGAAAAATATTCAGAACACCATATTTTCTAAGCTTCTGCATGCCTTCTTTTTATTTACGAAATTTATCCATTTCAATGGTTTATCTACCTTTCTCTAGTATTAGATCACTGATTTTGTTTTGTATCGCATTTATGTTCTCAATTTCATTTTCTTATAAATAAGTTGTAACATGTAAACTATTGCTGTGTACGTTATTACCAGCCTCGGACAAAAAAAATTGCCTGCTTAAAACAGTTAAACACATTTTACATTAACAAAAAAAATGAAAATCAAATGTAACTTCTGAATATGAACTTTTACCAAGGAAAATAACTTTATTCAGACATTTCATAATTAATGTGGCAATTCAGTGAAAAAGTCTTGTAATAAAGGGCAAAAAGGGAAATAAATATAGAAGAATAGCTTGTCTCCAATCTCTCTTCTCTCCAACGGATCATCATCACTCCTTTAAATCACCGTCAGAGAAATTCCAATTTTCTCGGATTTTATTTCTTCCTACAATCCCTAAAACCCTAGTCTTCTTTCACGCAACCTACTAAACTCAGCTCAAAGTTCAAGCTCTTCTGTTCCTGTAAGTCTCAAAGATTTTCCGAGAAAAAAAATACTAATCTTTATAAGATAAAGAACTTATATTCGAGTTTTTATTTATTTGTTTTCAATCTTGATTTGTTAAGAAACCAAATCAAGATCCTTGAGTTAGATTTTTGATGAGAATTTCTAAACCAGGAAAGCTAAGTTCAATTTAGAAAGAAGCTTATTTGTTCCTAATATCATCAAGCAAGAGAGAGCTTGACACCTGTTGACTGTCCAACGATCTGCAGAGAATCCAGAACACTAAAGCAATAATAATTTCCTTTATATATTTAAATCTATCTTCTTGCTGGTAACTAAGAAACAACAACTCAATTAGATCATTAAACTCGATGTCTTCATTTTTTTTTGTCTTGTTATCTTTAAAGTCTCCATTGATAATCGCTTCAGCCGAAAGTTGCTGTTTCTTCATATCAATTAATAGATAGCTTAAATAATTGATCATAGCTTCTGATCTTCCTAATAGCTGTTCTTTGATTTCTCACTTTAAATATATTTTGCTTCATCAAAGTTACTAAGATCATTAACTTTAAACCCATTTTATCGCTGTCAGATCTCTAAACGAGTAGATTTCATAAATTCGAATCATAATAACTGATATCTTAAATATGATTATATACGAAAGTTTTCACTTAGAAAAGTAGAAAAGGATGTAACATATGCACATACATATATATGATAAATAAATATATGTAGAGATTTGTTCTTATGAGATATTGTTTCTTAGTTTTTGTTTCGTCTTCTTATTGCAGGGGGGCTCGTGGGCTGAAATCATTTCAGACAGTGCTTTTGATGACTCTGCAACAGCTTGCAGACAAAGCTTAAACGAAGCTGTATCTACTGTCTTTGATGGTGAAATATCAAAAACCCTAAATTAAAAGAAAACAAAAAATAGATAAAACCCAAAAAAAAAAATTAAATTATTTTGTTTGTCTTTTTGGTTTTTCCTCTGAGTGTTTTTCATCATCAATGCTTATACAGTACAGTGTGTAAACAAAAAAAAAAACATCCTTCTTTAAATCCAAGAAACCCCAAGAAAAAAAACCCTAAAAGTCTTAGATTTTTTAATTTGTATTGGGAAAAAAGCTTAGGCATGAGACTATTGTTGAGATGTTTCCTAAAACTGGAGATGAGATGATGAAGACTAACAATGGCAATGTCATGGATACCAACAACAACAACCGGCTAAGCAGGTGGCATCACAACTCTTCCCGTATAATTAGGGTTTCGAGAGCTTCAGGTGGCAAAGATCGACACAGTAAAGTCTGGACTTCCAAAGGCCCACGTGACCGGCGTGTCCGGTTATCAGTCTCAACCGCTCTTCAGTTCTACGACCTTCAAGACCGGTTAGGTCTCGACCAGCCGAGCAAAGCCGTCGAATGGCTAATCAAAGCAGCTGAAGATTCAATCTCCGAGCTTCCTTCTCTCAACAACACTAATTTCCCTATGACAGATGACGACGAGAATCAGAATCAGACAGTAACTGGTGTGGCTAAATCAGCTTGTAGTAGCAATTCGGACACGAGCAAGAACTCTTCTGGTTTGTCTCTTTCGAGATCGGAGCTGAGAGATAAAGCTAGAGAAAGAGCTCGAGAGAGAACCAAGGAGAGAGACCACACTACTTCGTTTACCGATCTGTTAAATACCGGTTCAGATCCGGTTAATGTAAACCGGCAATGGATGGCTACTACTTCTTCGTCGCCTGCTCAAATGGAGTATTTAAGCTCCGGTTTGATTCTCGGGTCGGGTCAAACACATTTCCCGGTTCAGACAAATGCTCACCCTTTCTCCGACCATCATCCTCATCAAGAGTTTTCCTTCGTTTCCGACCATATGATTTCTCCGGCAGGTTCTAACGGTGGAGGAGCATTCAATCTCGACTTCAACATGTCGACAACCTCCGGCGCCGGAACCCCGGGGTTCAGTGGTTTCAACAGGGGGACCCTTCAGTCCAATTCAACCAATCATCAACAGTCTTTTCTCACTAGTCTACAGAGGTTTCCATCATCAGAAGGTGGTGGTGGAGGTCCACAGTTCCTGTTCGGTGCACTGCCTGCAGAGAATCACCACAACAACAATCACCAGTTTCAGCTTTACTATGAGAATGGATGCAGAAACTCAGACCAAAAGGGGAAAGGCAAGAACTGATGGTACTGTTACCATTTGCATCTTTTGTTTGAGTTTCTTTGTTTATTTTATCACTCAAGTGTTTTATATATCTACTGATCATCATCTTCTCAATGTGTGTTAAATCTGTTTGATTTGATGGTCTAGTTTGGAAATCTTTTCAAATTGGGTTTGTACTGTTGTATTTGTGATAATAGTATTTTTCTAAATAAAAAAAAGAAAGAAATTGTGATAATAGTATTTTGTTTGTTGATTCATAATTCTACTTTTTGAGTTTTGTTTTTTTTGGCATAAACAATAATTATTTTTATTCTCTTTAGTTAATTTTTTATATATTTTATTAATATTTTATATTTTATAGTACAAAGATACTATTTCTTGGTATTCATGAACAAGTATAGGTCAAGGACTCAAGGTAATAGGGCGATCCTTTTAAGGGTACTACTAGATTGAATCAAATCAAATAGCAGAAGAACAAGTTACAGAAATTAAGTGAAGAGACATCAATCTTACAAAAATGAATGGAAATGGATGTGTAGAATATATATAATTATGGAAATGGATGGTTATGCAGAAATAAATAATTATATGATACATAAATGAAACTGAAAAAATTAGGGTAATGCCCATTATGCACTGGAGAGAGTGAAAATTAATATGATTTGTCTCCTGTTGTGCTCTATGTTTGGTTCCCTTCTTCCTTAGCATCTCTCATCTCTTTCTTCTTGTCTCTCTCTATATGCATTGGTTTATATCTATCAATCTATATAATAATATGTCTTCCCCATTTTGACAGCTGTTCTTTTCAACAATGGCTATTCCCAAAATTTCATATTTTTGTTATGATCTGTTTTTATTATTTTAAGGTTATGAATGGCGCATGCGGTGCGGAGCGTATTTGATACTGTGCAAAAGTGGTATTTAGAATGTTACCAATCAGCTAATACAATTAAGAAAAGGCGTATTTGGTCAAATAACGCACTCAACAAAAAACTGTTTTTGTTTGTTCTATTTTATTAAAAAACGCACTTGACTGTGTAACGCATCAATTTTGGTGTGGTTGAAGTGCGTTTTTGATTGTACTGTTTATATTGTATTTATTATTTAATTTATGATATTTTATTTTAATTTTATAAACTTGTTTTAATACATCTGTTTAACAATTTTAATATATATTTGTTACAAAATGATTGGTTAACTAAAACACTAAAAATAATATTTCTTTTGTTCGTAAAAGATCCATATTTTAGTTTTTTCACACTTTTAATAAAACAAAATAAATTTACATAGTTTTTTGTATTTATCTTCTTTCCATAATTTTAAACCAATAAAAACCAATTAGTGTAATTAAGTTTTTTGAAGTTTACAATTAGTTCATAAAACATGCATTGAAAATATAAAAAATGTATTTTGCTTAGTTTTTTATTTTATATATGTCATTCAAATGTTTGTTGACCAAAAAAATGTAATTTAAATATTTAATTCATATGAATTTTGGTATTTAATTTTCAAAAAGAAATTACACCAGTAACAACACTAAATCGAAAATTATAGTTTTAAGTTATATTGATTGCATTGATATATAACATTTTACAGTTTTTTAAAAAATATTTTAAACTGTTCAATTCCGCAAATAACATATTTTTACCAATCAACACAATTCCGCACCGCTAATATTATCAAAACCGCACTTCTCCCGCAAACCGCACGAACCGCAGTTAGACCGTCCCGCACTTTAATTCCGTACCGCTTTTAATACCAATTCCGCCGTCACCATTCGGACCCTAAGTTTCTTTAAAACTTTTTCATTCATGTGCTACTTGATCTTGATCTTCTGCACCCACATGGGTACCCTATCTTTTAGGGTACTAGACAAAATATTATTAAATATATTCTTTTAGTTGTTTATTTGTTCTGGCTTTAAACTTTTGTGTGGTTTGGGATGTAGAGTAAAGTTGGTTTGCTTGTGTTTCATGTATTTTGAGGCTTTATCATGTAAAGGGATTCGTTAGAGTAAAATTTCCAAAGGAGAGAAAGACTATAGGTAGAACATTTGCTTGAAAGAAGTTAACAGTATGGTGGCCTAAATACAATACAAAATTATTCATATCACCTGTTAACTCTTGTTGAACAGTTTCTATTGTTTGGAATTCATAATAATAGTAAACTTTGTATCAACACTTGTGTACTGTAAGGTTCTTTTTGGATATATGATTGAACTTTTTTTTGAAAGCTAAAATTATAAACGAAAAATAGTTTTAAAATTGTTGCTCCTAAACAAGGAGAGCAATAGTGTTTGAGTGATCTAGGATAGGTTTTAGAGCACATACGAATGGTCTACGATATAAACTAATATTTTTTGAAAAAAAAACAGATGTCAAAAATTAGTTGCTGCCCAAAAGGGAGATAGTCAATTGGTTTAGGAGGTCTTTGTGGATAGTACGAGCAATGAACAAAGCTGAGTTCGGTGAGCTTCGGTTTCGCTCATGCCAAATCCAATACAGGGTTGACTGGAAAGCCATTTTAGCCAGCTAAGAGTCGACTTTGGAGAGACAATTGCGCTTTCTCTTCTTTCGTATTAAGGTGTTTCTTAAGTGTTTCCGATTCGTTTATGTTCATCTTTTTGGGCACACTTTTAGAATTAATTACTCTTTGCTGCAACTTCTGAATGAAGAGAGTCAAATGGCCATATTATTTATTGTGACAATTCTTTATCACGTTTATAGTGACTGAAAGAGAGAATAAAAAATTATCGTTAACAGAATGGTCCATATTTACAAACAAAAATGATTGAAAGAAGACAACATGTTTGATAGAAACAAAACTGGTCCTTCTGAGAGGGACATCTTTTTGTGTTCAGTTCCAAACCCCAAAAAAAACGAAGAATCAAAAAATATATTAAATACTTCATGGTCAAGAAAATAACACTTAAGCAAAAAAAAATTGTTTTCTTTTGTAATTTTTGAAGATAATACAATGATCCAACTCCGCTAGTGAAAGTTTACAGTTATATCTTGTAGTCAAGTAAACGAACAGAAGACAGTATGATTCTTCTCTACTTTTCTTAACTTGGTGTGTTTGGACTATGTATTGGGAAATATAGAACCTCGGCCGAATGCCACCTTTGTACTTTCTGAGTCCACTTACCTCCTAAAAGCCCAGACTGTTTGTTTATGTAGTGTTGTGTGTGTTTTCAGACAACGTAAGAAAAGAACAATACATAATAAGCCCTTTTACTTTCTTATAGATTGGGTTGAGGTTTACATCTGTTTTTTTTTTAAAGCTATATCCCATTTCTTAATTTTATGGATATAATCACAAGCTGTCGTAATTTATATGCAATTCTCTTATAATATGCGTTTCTCTAGATGAAGATTGGACTAAGGCTTATAAGATCATTTATAATACGTAATCTGATTTATCTTTCAGAATTTCTTTTTCTGCAAAAAAGAATCTACCATCCGTTTACATTATTGTTTTTTGTGTTGCTTTCATTTCCATTGTCTCTTCATCTCACTGAATCTCAGCAAATCAGGTAGGAGTGATTATATCACTTACTACGGTAGTAGACTCCTCGACGATATATTTAATCAATGACATTATAATATCCGATGAGCTATCTTTTCGATGATTATTTCATGGCTCTCTACTGCGAGTTCATGAGATAATTTAAGACAATGTTAGCTTTTTACAAGATTTGATCAACGGAGTATTGTAGCTTTTGTTCAGAGGAATAGCCATATGATTCATGTTTCAAGGGGTAGTGTAGAATTCTTTTTGTCTACTTGTTTCAGTTTCCGTTCCAAAATCCAGTAGATCCTTTTCTTAGAAACAATACACTAGTAAACTTTCAATATAGTCACGACATAGACCCGTAAAAATCATGACTAGACCACAATTTAGCTACCGACTAGCGAAGAAATGAAAATAACTACGATTTCGGATAAAACGTGGCTAATATATGGAATTTTTTTTACTAGTGATAGCTAGTGGTTCAAGTGAGACTAAAAAAACTATGTCGCTTCGCAATATTACCGGTTGCATTTACGCTTAAAAGGTCTTCATCTTTATATGATAAAATTGAAAATAAATTTTAAAAGTCTGTCATTTACACTTGATATAAACCTAATGGAACATGCGATGGTGAAATGTGATGCATGGTTAAACGAGCTTGAGATTCTTTTTATGGAATTCCGCTTTGGCGTAAAAAGAGGAGACGATGATTCCATATATAAGAGTTGCAAAGAGCATGATGATTTACTCATATTGTTGAGATTACATTGTTTGAAGAATATCTTAAGGATCGATGATAAAAATATGTAGAGGGAAAATGATCCCGAAAAGCATGATTGCGAGAAGTGCATGACAATTGACAATATTCTTAAACGAGATTATATGTTGTGAGAACTGTTGAATAAAGCATATTTTGCTCTTAAACCAAGTGAGTCGGTCTAGCTGACGAAAATTGTTTCTTTAGCAAGTTAAGGTGCTGAAACTAACCATATACAAGTTAGTTTCTTTAGCAAGTTAAGGTGCTGAAACACTAAAATTGTTAAAAAAAAAAAAAAAAAAACTGAAACACTAAAATTGTTTTTTTTTTTAAACTGAAACACAAAAACTGTTTGTAAAATTAAGTTATAATCTAATGATTAAATAAAATTAGCGTGAATGGTTGTAGTAAATGAAATATAGAGAAGTTATACAACAGCTCTATAAAGATGTAAGACAATCGATGCCAAAAATAAAGTTTCCTAAAAAGGTTTAAAACTAGTGGACAAATTTCCAAACCGTAGCTCTTTCAACAAAACGTATAAATTTTTTAAAAAATATATAGATAGTTGATAATTGTTGACAAAAAAAAAGATAGTTAATAATTTAAAGTTTCATACATATGTTGAAATCTTTAAATAGGATTAGGATGCACCAATCCGTTAGTAGCCTAACCGATATTTTTTTACTCAGATAAAAAGAAAGAAAGATAAACCAGTGCTTTATATTAATATAATTTATTTTGGAATTATATTGTTTTCTTTGAGTGGAGAGGTCAATTTCCAAATGTGTGTATAATGTATTGTCTAATACTTTACTTCTTTTGGGAGAAAAAGCCTTAATGTTCGGGAAGACTTTAATCATCTATCTTTTTCGTTTTATTTTTCTGTACATGCCTTTAAGTACCTGTAATTGTGTCTATTTTCGTTTGTTTTATTTACAGCACAATGAGAAGACCACTAATTTTGTTTTGTTTCTAAAATAAAAGTCCCTTTTGACATAGATTTATGTTCATTACGCCAATCAAATCTATTAGTGAATGATAGAAACTGGTCAAGGGAGAAAGGCAATGTTTTATCTTTCTCTCCTTACAACTTAGCTGATGCTATGTTTATTAAAGTTAAAGCAAAGAGACTTAGATGAATCGTTGCAAAAGATTTATGTTTCAGAGTTAAGCAACTTGTTGCCTAACCTTAGGCTTAAGCTATGCTTAAATAACAAAATGTCACCATACAGTGAAAACGACAAAATGAGGTTTCGTTAGAGACATGTTTGAACTCGATGCATCACCTTAGTACTTGTAGTAGTAAATAAAACTGGATCTGAAATCTCGAGTATGTTTCAACGCAAAGTAAAATTTGTTTCCCTTTTCTTAACTAAAAAGATTAAACTCCAATACAAAATAGAAGAATAATAAAAAAATGTTTTTTTCTGTAAGTTATGTTGTGTGAATGAACTTGAGAAATATCGTTTTCATCAGATTATATTACGGAAATATATTTTATTTAAACTAAAGAATGACTATTGTGACATACACTGCTACATTATTATTACTTAATGGACAATAATTTCATCCCACTCACAAACTTTTGCCTGCCCCAAAGTAAACAAGTGGGCTCTTTCTTGTTGAAGTATCCAATATCCATATCTTTCAAGCAGACCAAACATTCATATATACTTCATATTCTATATGATAGGCATATGTAACCAATATTGTGAAGCGGGATAGAATATACCATTCTCAATATTATGGTATTGTTTTAAGCGTTTAGGCACACATAACTTTTTTAGGTGCACTACGAACACACTGACACTGACATATACACATGACGACACATATTATAACAAGCGTTGTTGGTGTTAGACCACGTTGCATTTCACTTGCGTTTTTAGACCAATCAATTAACTAAAAGGAGGAGCAATATATTAAAAATATCATTTTGAGTTCAAAATTGTTTATATGTAAATAGCATAAGTTTATAACCATATTATGGATTAGATTTAACAGTCTAAATATTGGTCTCTCTTGCTAAAATATAATTTTATTCTATGTCTCATAGCAATGGTGATTGATGATGAAGAAGAATGAAATACTTGCAATTGCTCTCAATTTTATTTTATATAACAACTTGGGAGAAATACATGAAAGACAAGCAGGGAGAATCAAACTGTATCACTTACCTACAAATAATATTAACATAATAATGAAAGAAAGATGCAGAGAGGAAGATTTTTTATAAGATAGAAACTTGCTCTTGCACGATTGCTATGCGAGCTGAAAATAAAAAAGAAAGCAGCCAGCTGATGCGGTTCCTGGTGTCTGTGCAGCCGGAACTAGAAGCGGAGGAGATCACAGATCTTCTTCACCAAGTACATATAGCCACAATGGTGAATCTGAGAATGACAAAATTGATCTTATGCACTGTAGTCACTCTATCAAAACCTGGTTAGCCTTCAGGATTCACCTATCAACCAAGGGAAAACAAAGAATTAGATTGTGCCCTCTTGATAACCAATGAAACTTGCGCCAAACCATATAAAATTCGATGTTTAAAAAGGTTTGATTTTTCGAACGGAGACTAGTTGTCAACTACAAACAGCCACATAATCTGATTTTGATGTCTTGTCTTAATGATAAGCTCCGATTCCTAACAATACTAGTTTGGTCCAAAACAATTGATTACTCAAAAAATTACTTCATAATCAGAGATTCATACCTCAAGACCAGACTCTTGCACATTAGAACGAGTTCATTTCAAGACAGTAAGTCCTCCTCTTAACAAGCATCTTAGCAGCCACACCATAAACCCCATCAAACGCAGACGCAACCCAAGAAACATCACACACCTCTTTCTTACACTCACTAGGTCTAATCGCCACCAAAGTAGCACCCTTCAACACAGTCCCATCAGGCAACTCCAAACTAGGAGCATACCAAAGCCTCATGTTCAAAGCCGGCACAAGTGTCCTCTTAGAAGCCGAAGAAGCAGACAAAGGCTTCACCCTCAACTCCTCTAACTGATCCCTATTCATACAAAGCACTCCTTGCCCATCCGTATCCGTCAACACCAAACTATCAAGCGTCTTGTGCTCGGCGATGATCGGCTGAAGCAAGTAGTGTCTCGCCGAGGCGGCGATCAATGAGCTGATCGTCCACACGACGCGGAGCTTTAAACCTCCGTTCGTGTAGAACGACTCCGGTATGCTCCCGGAGTCTTCCGACGACACGGTGTCGTCGGAGGAAGGGTCTGTGGAGACGGAGGAAGCGCCGAGGATGACGCAATTCTCGAGGGTTGACCCGAACTCCGCCCGCCATTTCAGCAAAACGCCGTCGTCTATGCCTAACTCGCCGGCGGGAAGCTCGATGCGGAGGAGACGAATCTCGTTGAAGTTCTTGAGGACTTGCGTCGGGGAATGGTGCGTCACGCCGTTTTGCTCGATCTCTCCGTCGTCTCCTCCGGTGATCGACAAGGAGGAGGCGGAGGAGGAAGGAGAAGACGGTGACGATGAGCGTTTGGTGGAGAGGAGCTGTGTGAGAGCGTGTAAAGGTTTGAAGATGAGGCGGAAGATGGCGGAGACGGCGGAGGAGGAGGAGCGAGGCTTGTCGGAGGAGAGAGAGGAGGAGGAGGAGGAGGAAGAATCGTCGTCGTCGGAGATGACGCAGTCGACGCGAACGACGACGTTTTCGACTTGAGGGACGAGGGAGTGGAATCTCTTTGAAACGACGCCGCATCGGCCGAGGGCTTTGACGTCGCCTATACGGTTGAAGACGAGGAGGAGGATGGAGTCGGGGAGGTAGTCGAAGAGGTCGGGTTGGTTTAGTGGTTCCGGGTGGATCCGAGAGAGAGGATCTGAACGGTGGATTAAGGCCATGGTGGGGAGGAATCAATTAAAATCAGATCTTTGAGAAGAAGAGGCAGATAACACAACGCATGGAAGAGGAAAGGAATCTTGACACAGAGAGAAGAGAGAGAGGATATAAGTGGAAGGGAGTTAATTTAGATCCACGAGTTTCTTTTTTTCTTTTGTCTCTTGTCTGAATGAATATTTAAGAATGGTAATAGCGCGTGTGGGCACGCGTGAAGAGGTTAGAGAGGGAGGAGGTTTTGTTAATTTAGCGTGATTCAGAGATTTAATTTTATAGTAGTTAATAAACAAATAAGAAGGGTAGTGACGATTGTTAAAAAAAAAAAGTGTAGTGACGAAATTCGAGTTAGGTATGTTGAATTTTGGATATCGAAAAGTATTATTTTGAGAGGAAAAATAAGAAAGTCCTCGTAATAAAATGAGGTTGGAATTTTTGTATAAATACATATTAGGATGTATTAATACAAATAGTTATGTTTGAGAGTTGAACAAAAAAAAAAAAAAAAAGTTATGTTTGAGAACTGTGATCAATCAATCTAAAACATTTGAATGATGAATAAAATTGTGTGAAAGCTTCAAATAGTAAACCAGCCACACGGTTACCATTTTTACCATGCATAGTCTAAGACTACAAAAGATCTAGAGACCAAATAATCTGCATTATTTTTTTTTTTTTTGAAAAAAAAAAAAAAAAAAAAAAAAAAAAAAAAAAATACAGCAAAAAAAAATCTGCATTATTTGATTTGAAATTTTGTTAGGATCACAGCAAACGATTGTATGCATAAATACAGCATTAATACAACCATCAAACTCCAATTCTTGGTC